GAGGTCAAACCCTCCCTGGTATTAGCTACAACAATCAAGGCTTAACTACAAGACTGCGCACAAAGACCACTAGGGGGTGCACCAAGAAAGCATAACAAAATGCGGAGACAAAGAAACAGGACAAAATTGTCAGTGGAAGATATAGAGTTCAGAACCACAGTTTTAAGGTCTCTCAAGAACTGTTTAGAAGCCGCCGATAAACTTAATGAGATCTACAAGAAAACTAATGAGACCCTCGATGTTATGATGGGGAACCAACTAGAAATTAAGCATACACGGACTGAAATAACGAATATTATACAGACTCCCAACAGCAGACCAGAGGAGCGCAAGAATCAAGTTAATGATTTGAAATGAGAGGAAGCAAAAAACACCCAACCAGAAAAGCAAAATGAAAAAAGAATCCAAAAATGCGAGCATAGTGTAAGGAGCCTCTGGGACAGTTTCAAGCGTACCAACATCAGAATTATAGGGGTGCCAGAAGATGAGAGAGAGCAAGATATTGAAAACCTATTTGAAGAAATAATGACAGAAAACTTCCCCCACCTGGTGAAAGAAATGGACTTACAGGTCCAATAAGCGAGGAGAACCCCAAACAAAAGGAATCCAAAGAGGACCACACCAAGACACATCATAATTAAAATGCCAAGAGCAAAAGACAAAGAGAGAATCTTAAAAGCAGCAAGATAAAGAAACTCAGTTACCTACAAGGGAATACCCATACGACTGTCAGCTGATTTCTCAACAGAAACTTTGCAGGCCAGAAGGAAGTGGCAAGAAATATTCAAAGTGATGAATACCAAGAACCTACAACCAAGATTACTTTATCCAGCAAAGCTATCATTCAGAATTGAAGGTCAGATAAAGAGCTTCACAGATAAGGAAAAGCTACAGGAGTTCATCACCACCAAACCAGCATTATATGAAATGCTGAAAGGTATCCTTTAAGAAGAGGAAGAGGAAGAAAAAGGTAAAGATACAAATTATGAACAACAAATATGCATCTATCAACAAGTGAATCTAAGAACCAAGTGAATAAATAATCTGATGAACAGAATGAACTGTTGATTATAATAGAATCAGGGACATAGAAAGGGAATGGACTGACTATTCTTGGGGGGGGGGAAAGGGGTGTGGGAGATGCGGGAAGAGACTGGACAAAAATTGTGCACCTATGGATGAGGACAGTGGGTGGGGAGTGAGGGCGGAGGGTGGGGCGGGAACTGGGAGGAGGGGAGTTATGGGGGGAAAAAAAGAGGAACAAATGTAATAATCTGAACAATAAAGATTTAATTCAAAAAAAAAAAAAGGTTGAGATGATACTTTATGAGATTAAGACAAACCCAACAACGTCCTTACTATAGCCTCACTGTAAAATGGAAACACTACACTGTGTCAGACATATGGTGGTAGCAGCTCTATAGTTCATCTCAGCCAGGGATACCAAGAAATCTGCCTGAGAATGCCCTGTGAACTTCTGACATCAGGGTTGAACAGGGTGGGAAGAGATTAACCAATGAATTTATATACATATATACATAGCCCATGGACAGACAATAGGAAGGCCTGGGGAGGGGACAGGAGTTGGGGAGAAGGGGGCCAATGGTGGAAAAAAAAGACATCTATAATACTTCCAACAATAAAGATAAAATGTTTAAAAATTTATAGAATGAGATTATGACACAGAGAATGATCAAAGGAAATTAAATCCATCTGGAACCCTGAATTTAAAAAAAATTGTTAGGATGTTTTCCTTATGACAAATGTAATATATTTTCATTGTTGTAGATGTCTAATACACATATAAATAAGAAAAAACATCAATCCTTAGTTTATGGATTCAGAGATCACATTGCAAATATATTTGGTATATATCCCCTTAGGCATTTTCTTACAAATCCAGATGTATATTTAACAAACATGGACTGTTCTGCCCTGACCAGGTAGCTCAGTTGATTAGAGCATAGTTCTGATATGCCAAGGTTGTAGGTTTGATCCGTGGTCAGGGCACATACAAGAAGATCCAATGAATGCATAGATAAGTGGAACAACAAAATCAATACTTTTCAATCTTTCTCTTATCTCTCTCTAAAAATCAATTTTAAAAATTTTAAAAAGGACTGTTCTAGACATATCCTTGTGCAACCTTGCCAAAGCACCATTGTTAAGGGTACATGTCCCATCAGACTGCTGGAGTTTGGGTAGCAGCTTTGTCAAGAACTAATAGGATAATACTGGGCAAGTTTCTCCTGTTGATGGGAAAGGAGGTTTTGACAGGATCTCATCCTGGATGGCTTAGCTTGCCATCAGCCAAAATCAGAAGTCTGTGAATAAAAGAGGTTTGTAGTGAGGAGATCAGCAGTTCAATCTATTGGGCAGCTGAGTGGAAATATCCAGTATGCAATTGGATTTTGATTTAGAGAGAGGTATGAATACAGTTAGAAGTGTGGGAGTCATGGGCATATACATATTTAGAGCTTTGAGACTGGATGAGATCAAGGGAGTAAATGTAGATAAGAAGAGTGAGGAGTCAGCCCTGGGGTACTCCAACACTAAGAGTTTAGAGAAGAGATACAAGGAAAGGGAATTTAAAATGTGATAAAAGGGCCCTAGCTGGTTTGGCTCAGTGGATAGAGCGTCGGCCTGCAGACTGAAGGGTCCCAGGTTCAATTCTGATCAAGAGTATATGCCCGAGTTGCGGGCTCGATCCCCAGTACGGGAGTGCAAGAGGCAGCCAATCAATGATTCTCTCTCATTGATGTTTCTATCTCCCTCTCACTTCCTCTCTGAAATCAATACAAATATATTTATAAAAAAATAAAATAAAATGTGATCAAGGTGGTGATAATTCTTGTGGAGAGTCTGATGAGTTAATGCAGCTTCCTCAGGTTGGGAGGAACAGAGACTCGAGAGTAGATGAACTTGAATGACACGTGTTTGCTTGGAGTTGGCAGCAGTCATTCTGCTCCTGTGCTCAGAAATTCCAGTATCTCTGCCTTTCCTGATCCTTATCAGTGTGGCTTATGGTTCCCGGTATTCTTTGTGTGTGTACCTCCTCTTTTCCTGTGAATCATGTTTGTTCTGTTCAGACTTGCTGCCTTTAATGTATTTACGTTCTCTCTTATACCCACTGGAAAGAATCAGGCTTCTTCCCCAACCCCAACAGTAAAAGCGCTTTTATCAGCTTTATCAGTGATCTCCACTCAGTTCTCAGGTGTCTTCTTCTCATCCTGTCAGCAGCCTTTGACAGATGGCTCCCTCCCACCTGAAACAACCTTTGCTTTCCCTGCAGGACACCACTTTCTCCTGTTCTCCTGGTTCTCACAGGCTACTTTTTTTTTTCAGTTGCTTGACCATTTCTCACTTTCCTAATGTCTAGATCAGTGGATCTCAACCTTGGCTGCACATTAGAAGCACCTGGGAATCTTTTTAAAGTCCTGATTTCTGGGCCTCATCCTCCGGAAATTGTTTCTTTGTTACTAAAGTTGTGGCCTCACCCCATAACAAAGAAACAGAATTTCTGGGGTTTTGTTCATCATCTTAAGACCTACGGACTTTTGAAAACACTTGTTTTAAGACAGGGTAGTACACTCTGGGGGTCTTCTCTAGCAGAGGGCTTGTGGAAAGAGGTCCAGGATGCCTACCAGGTCTCATTGGGCGGGGCATGAGGACGCGCTGGTGAGTCACCACGACCTGCGTCTAGGCGGGCGTCGTGCGTCGTTACCAAGGAGACGCAGGGGGCGCGGCCACTCCCGCCGCCGCCGGCGGCTCCTCCCAGTCGAGCCCTGGTCCTACTCGCGCGCCCCCTCGTGGCCGCGGCTTCGAGGCCGGGCGCCGACTTCGAGGTCCAGCACCGGGCCACCCTCCCCGTGGCGTCCGCCGGGATCGGCGCGTGCGCCCAACGCAGCTCCGCCCAGGGCCGGGCCGGGCCAGAGGAGACGCCTGGAGGTAAAAGCGAGCAGGTGTCGCAGGCGGGCTTAGTCTAGGCCCCGCGGGCCGGGAGAAGGCGAGGCGCTGGGCCGCGGCGGGCAGGAGCGATGGCCGACGCGCCAAGTGGCTCCAGCCCTGAGACAGGGGCCACCGCAAAACCTGCGGGGTCTTCACTCGCCACCGCCGAGGTCGCCTCAAAGTCATCGGACTCCAACAGCAAGTGCGTGTTCTGCCGGATTGCGGGGCGGCAGGAGCCGGGCACCGAACTCCTGTATTGTGAGGTGGGCGGCGCCGAGCGACGGGCGCGGTGGGGGCCGCCCTGGGAGCTGCGGAGCGGGAGCGGGAGCGGGGCTCGGGCCGAGGGGGTGCGGGGGGGGGGGGGGGACACGTGATAAAGCCCAGCTCCTGCCTGTCTGCGGGGACCACGCGTTGGGCCTCTGCCCCGGGCGCCCCCGGCCCCGCCTTGCTGCACCCGGCGTCCTGGTCTGCGCACTCCAGTACGGACACCGAGGCGAGGACGAGGAGCACGTGGACCGTAGTGACCGTGGAGTTGGCGGTGGTTGTCAGACTGACCGGAAATGGGCTGGGGGAGGAGGTCGGAGGCCAGGTCGCCACGGGGGGCTCGGCTCCTGCAAGCGCGATGGGCTGGAAGGTGTGCACATTTATTTTAAAACAGGCATCAGGTACACGCGTCTTCCGTCGGTTCTGCCTGCCTGCAAAGAAACCACCTTTAGCAAATCCAAAAGAGAATCCAAAGATTGTGGGTGTTTTTTGTTTGTTTGTTTTTGTAGTTCATTATACCTTCACTTGTTAAAGTGAAATTGAATTCCCTCTAAGTACTTGGTGTTGGAGAGTCGGTGGTGAGATAAAGGGCAGTTCCTGTCCAGTTTACACCATGACGGGTGGGATGCATTGCGGACTGGGGGTGGCGGGGGGGGGGGGGGGGGGGGGAGAGGGAGATGGAGGCGGAGACGGCTGGTTGCAATGCTGCAGGACTTGGCAGGCCTGTGGGAGGGCCCCTCGCCCAGATCTGAAGGCCCAGGGAAGCGCTTTCCAGGGAAAGTGAGTAGAATCAAGTAGGAGGTGGCCAGGTGAGCCAATAAGGCCTGGAGAACCCCGGGGGTTCGCTTTGTGCCCTGGGGCAACTACCAGAAACGCAGGCTAAGGAGAGTGTGGAGACTGAGGTGGAAGATGAGGCTGGCGAGGTTCACAGGGGCCCCGGTGATTAGGGTGTTGTGATTCATTTTAAGGAGTTTTATGTTCATCTGAACAGTGATGGGAAGCCCGCTCTGTTTGATACTGGGGTGGAGTGACCCCCGAGGGGTTTGGCCTTTGGAAGGTCATTCATTCTGGCACCAGCCTGGAGGCATGCAGACCCGTGGGGAGGCTCTTGGAGGAATGAAGAAAAGTGGGTCAATCTAAGGGTACTTAGGAGGTAAATCAGGCCGGACTTGTTGAGGGATGGAGAGCAGTGGTTCTTGACTCCGGGCTGTTGTTCCCCAGGGACTCCTGGCAATGCCTTGCGACACTTTTTGTTGTAACAGCTGTGGGGTCAGGGCGGACTGTTGGCACCTAATGGGTAGAGGCCAAGGCTGCTAATATTATACAATGCACAGGACAGCTCTCCACAACAAAGAATTATCTAGCCTCGAAATATCAGCAGTGCCTAGGTTGAGAAGCCCCGATTTCGGCGTGGGAGAACGAGGAAGAGAAAGGGGCAAGTCGAGGATCGTTCCCGATTTCTGGCGAGGGTACTCTGGAACCAGGTCCTGAAGATAAGCAGCAAGGAGGAGAGCTGATGGCCAGGGGAGTGGTGGGAAGTACCGAAGTGATGAGATCGGTTTTGGAGTTTGAGGTGAGTGTGAGGCATCTAAGTGGAGATGTGCAGTAAGTGGTTAGTCTGTACAGTGGAGAGACGTGGATTTCCAGCCCAGATTATAGGAACTGCCAGCGAATCGGTGGAAATTGACAAGAGGGGGAATGAGCTGACCTAGGAAGTGTATGTGGAGGAGGAGGGGAGGGGGCCTACAGAGTCCTAAGGATAACTGATGTCATACAGGAAAAGCAGAGGACAAGGAGCTGAAACGGGGACAGAGAAGGAGCCCTCCAAGAAACAAGGAAAACTAGGAAAGCTCAGAAAAGGGAGAATGTGAAGAGCCTTCCCTATCCTCAAGTCTGGGTTAGGTGACTCTCCTACTTGCTTGTGGAGCGGTCAGGTTATATCAGAACTGGTTTTGCCCCCAAAATGAATTCACCTTTAGGAGCCCAGTTGCAGCATGGTGCGGCAGAATGCAGACTGTAGGAACTGAGAGGACTCTGGGGATGAAAAACTGAAGAGAGCAAATACAGACAACGTTTGACGGAAGTCTGGCAATCTTGAGGAGGGAAAGGGAGTGGTGACTACAGGAGGAGTCGGGGTGGAGAGAATGCTTCAGAAAGCACTGAAGACTGAGTTAGAGCTTTGTCCGTGGGAAAGAGGGAACTCATTCACGTATTCATCACTCAGTATTTGAGTGCCTTCTCTACTCCAGGTACTGTTGGAGGCAGTAAACAAAACACACAACAAATTCCTGTCTTCATGAGCATAGGCCCGTGGTCAGCAAACCGCGGCTCAAGAGCCACATGCGGCTCTTTGGCCCCTTGAGTGTGGCTCTTCCACAAAATACTACGTGCGGGCGCGCATGTACAGTGCGATTGAAACTTCGTGGCCGTGGGCAGAAGTCGGTTTTTGGCCTGGGCGAGTCTATGTTGAAGAAGTGGCGTTAGAAGAAGTGGGGGGTGTCGGTCGGTCGGTCGGGCCGCGGGATACGCAGCATGGGGGAGTTGAGTGAGCCAGTCAGCCAGCAGCCTCATTGTGCAGTGGTTGGTGCTAGTCGCGTTTGCAAATTGCGTGCAGGTGACAAAAGATAGATGAAACAAGCATACAAGACGAGTGTGGATGGGAGAGTTGGAAGGGGTCGACCTTAGCGAACGTACCTCAATCAGATTGAGGACGTTTTTTAGCAAAGGCCAGCTTAGGAGTACCCTAATTAAGTGAATAACAATGTACCTACCTATATAGTTTAAGTTTAAAAAATTTGGCTCTCAAAAAAAATTTCAATCGTTGTACTGTTGATATTTGGCTCTGTTGACTAATGAGTTTGCCAACCACAGGGCTAGGGGAAGGAGGAGGCAGGGAGCACCTGACAGGGAGAAAGAATAAGTTGTCTCCCTGCAAAGTAGGGGTAAAAAAAATAGAGTCAAAAGGGACCCAGCTCTACCTTTTCATTCATTCTTTATTTTACTAAATATACAATTAGGTTAGCAAGAGGTAAGTGAGTTTCTTAAGTTTGCAGAATTCAATATTTCTTATTTTTAATCCTCACCTGAAGATATGTTTTTATTGATTTTAAAGAAAGAGAGAAACATTGATGTGATAGTTGGAACATTAAGTACTATTTTCCTATTAGACTGAGATTTATGATGTTTAAGATATGGCAGAACATTAATAGGTCATTCTTTTTTTAAAAAATCCCCATTCAAGGATATTTTTCCAATGATGTTTAGAGAGAGTGGAAGGGAGGGTGGGAAGGGGGGAGAGAGAGAGGGAGGCACACATTGATTAGTTGCCTCCTGACTGGGACTGGGGATTGAATCTGCAAACCAGGTATGTGCCTGTGACTGGGAATCGGACCCACGACCCTTCAGTGACTCTAACCACTGTCCCTCACTCGCCAGGACATATTAGTTAATTCTTAAAAAATTCACTGGCAAATGATATGTTTTTTGCTTTAGGATGAAGACCTAGTTTGCTTTAAAGATATCAAACCAGCAGCATCTCATCATTACCTTGTGGTGACAAAGCAGCATATTGGAAACTGCACAGATCTAAAGAAAGAGCAAATAGGACTTGGTAAGATGATGGCAGTATTCTTCATGATCCTATCATCTTGATCCCTCTATTCCCACTTTGCTGAGAGTTTTTATCAAAAATGGGTGCTGGATTTTGTCCAATGCTTTTTCTGCATCTATTGATATGATCTTGTGATTTTTGTCTTACAATCTGTTAATGTGCTGTATCACACTTTTTGATTTGCGGATATTGTACCAGTCTTGCGCAGTTAGAATTAATCCCACCCCCCTGGAATAAGTAAATTTGGCTAGGCCCCCAAAAGTTAAGATTAATAACACTTTAGTGAACTTAATGTCTTCTATAATGTAATGTAGTTTCTTTCCTGTTTTATAGTTGAGAGCATGGTTACTGCTGGAAAAACCATTCTTAAAAAGAATAATTTCACTGACTTCGAAAATGTGAGGTATGTATACTTCCATATAGAAACCAATATTCATAGTTGGTTTTTCTGAAATGTTATTTCCTCATGGGAAAGGAAAGCAGAGCTGGCCGAGTTTATAATTTAAATGCAGTTTTCCTGAAAGTGAATGTATGGTTCATTGATAATGTAAATTTAATGAAAAAAACTTCTTCCTCTCATGTCTCAACATCTTCTAATAATCACCACTTACAGTTTGGACAGACAAGTATATTCAATCAGTGGGCAGTTAGAGTAGTTACCAGTCCACTTTTCTTTGTTCAATATGTGTATTTCTATAAAATTGTGTATAAATCGAATTTCCTTAGAAAATATTTTATGTGGTTTAAAAATACATACTTTTAGCATGAAATTAACTTGAATTCATTGCCTGCTGAACTCTGGCATTTGTCAAAGTTTGAGCAAAAGCACAAAATGTTCAATTTGGCAACTGTTTTTTTGTTTTTAAATATTTCTGACTTCTCCTGTGTGACCAAAGCAGTGCCAAGGCGTGTATAGTGGAGATGGCCTCTGACACCTCTGAACTGGAATTCAGAGAGACCTGAATTCTAATGCTACCCATGCTGCTTTCTGTGTACTGTGCTTGTACTGCTCTGTCATTTTAGACAAGTCTTTTAACCTCTCCAAGATAATATCTGCCCTGCCTACTTGTAGGTTCAGGTGAGACTGTGTGTGAAAATCCTCTGAAAATGGTTAAGCAGTACCCAAGAGTGATAATGACAAAGAACAAATGGTATTTGATGTCCTTTGGTCAAAACCAGTACATTCACCTCCTAGTCACAGGAGTGCTTGCTTGTTATAGGAATGGACACTGGACTGGGAGTTAAGAGCCTGGAGTCTAAATCCTAACTCTACCACTCCCTAACATTGTGATTTTAGGAAGTTTGTTAAACTTTTTGGATCTTAGCTTCCCCATCTACACTAATAAAAGACAAACATGCAAATTGACGATACCTTCGCTATGCCTTAAGCCACGCCCATCAGCCAATCAGAGGGACTATATGCAAATTAACCCAACCAAGATGGCGGCCGGTAGCCATGGAGCTGGAGCAAGCAGGAGGCTTGGTTGCCCCAATGATGGAGGAAGCCAAGCTTCCCCCTTGCCGTGGCAGGCTCTGAGCTCCACTCAAAGCAACAAAGTTTCAATTATAGAAGGTAAATAAACTCCAGATACCGTCCGCCCTGGCCGGCTCTGAGCTCCTCTCAAGGCTACAAAGTTTCAATTATAGAAGGTAAATAAAGCCCAGAATAAAAAGAAAAAAAGGAGAGGTTGGGAGCGTCTATCGTTGGGAGGCTTGGCCAGCCTGAAAACGGCCCTCAGCCACTCACCCATACTGGCCAGGCACCCCAGTGGGGATCCCCCACCCTCAGGGGGTGTGGCCAGCCTGAAAAAAGCCATCAGCCTCTCACCCAGGCTGGCCAAACCTCCATGGGGTGAGGGTCCCCACTGGGGAGGGCTTGACCAACCTGCAAACAGTCATCAGCCACTCACCCAGGCTGGCCAGGCACCCCAGTGGGGACCCCCACCCTAAAGGGGGTGTGACCAGCCTGCAAACAGCCATCAGCTCCTCACCCAGGCAGGATCCCCACCCTGATCCGGGACACCTTTCAGGGCAAACCAGCTGGCCCCAATCCATGCACCAGGCCTCTATCCTATATAATAAAAGGGTAATATGCAAATTACCTAATAGCAGAACGACTGGGAATGACTGGTCACTATGACACACGCTGACCACCAGGGGGCAGATGCTCAATGCAGGAGCTGCCCCCTGGTGGTCAGTGCGCTCCCACAGGAGGAGCTCTGTTCAGCCACAAGCCAGGCTGATGGCTGCCAGTATAGCGGTGGTGGTGGGAGCCTCTCCCGCCGCCTCAGCAGCGCTAACGATGTCCAACTGCAGCTTAGGCCTGCTCCCCACTGGCAAGTGGACATCCCCCAAGGGCTGCCAGGCTGCCAGAGGGGTGTCTGACTGCCAGCTTGGGCCCAATCCCCCAGGGAGCGGGCCTGAGCCAGCAGGTGGACATCCTTCGAGGGGTCCCAGACTGTAAGAGGGCATAGGCTGGGCTGAGGAACCCCCCGAGTGCACAAATTTTGTGCACCGGGCCTCTAGTCTAAACATATAAAGAGGTAATATGCAAATTAGGCCGAGATGCCATAATGGGTCACGACCAGACAGGAGGAGGTTGTGTGTGCAGGTGAGGCCCCAGAGCAGAGACAGAGACAGACACGGGGCCTGCCTGAGCCAGCACAGTGGCTCCGGCGGCCCAGAGCGGACACAGGCAGGTGGGCTGGGAGGGCCTGGGGTGGAAGTCAGGCGTGGGTCCCGGCCACCCAAGGTGCCAGTCAGGCCTGACTCCCACGGCCCGCGGGGTGCCTCCTTGCACAGCGGAAGGCGGGGCGCCTCCTCCTGTGATTTCAATCGTGTGCTGGCCTCTAGTATTTAAAATAAAAAGGCTGAGTCTCTTCTAGCTTTTGGATTACTTGATTCTACATTATATAATTTGTATTCCATAGAGAGAAAACCTAGTCTCCTTTTCTAGGTAGTGGTGAAAGCTTTTCAATATGTGTTGCATATCTGACTTACATTGTCCTATATTGATACAATATAGCACTTCTCCTGTGCCTTCTTCCACTTAGAATAAGTGGACTTGCAAAACTGTAAATTAATTTTTAAGAGGTTAAATCATATTTTTTTTTTAATATATTTTTATTGATTTTTTACAGAGAGGAAGGGAGAGTGATAGAGAGTCAGAAACATCGATGAGAGAGAAACATCGATCAGCCGCCTCCTGCACATCCCCCACCGGGGATGTGCCCACAACCCAGGTACATGCCCTTGACCGGAATCGAACCTGGGACCTTTCAGTCCGCAGGCCGACGCTCTATCCACTGAGCCAAACCGGTTTCGGCTAAATCATATTTTTTAAAAATTTTATTCGTCAAAAGAATTCTTTTATGTATTTTAAAACAAATGAATATGAATAATTGTCATCTAAATTTTTATTGTTAAACAAGAAACTGATAATTTTTTTAGATACATAATTAATTTCACTACTAAAATCCTGGTTCATAAGGAAATGATTTACCAGTTTTATTAAAGGAGAATGCTTGCCATCTACTGGCTGTGTCTTGGAATAATGGAACCATACTTGAGTGTCCTGTAGTAATTATTTATTTATTTAGCTTCATTGAAGAGGCATATCTTAGGATAATTAAATATCTTAATATAATTAAATATCTTAGCATGTCTTAATATGATAAAGGCCGAAAATGATAGGATGGAATGCCAACTCCAAATTCATAAAGGTTATACTAAGGCAGTGGTTTTCAACCTTCCTAATGCCACGACCCTCTAATACAGTTCCTCATGTTGTGGTGACCCCCAACCATAACATTATTTTCGTTGCTACTTCATAACTGTAATTTTGCTACTGTTATGAATCGTAATGTAAATATCTGATATGCAGGATGTATTGTCATTGTTACAAATTGAACATAATTAAAGCATAGTGATTAATCACATAAACAATATGTAATTATATATGTGTTTTCCAATGGTCTTAGGTGACCCTGTGAAAGGGTCGTTCGACCCCCAAAGGGGTCGTGACCCACAGGTTGAAAACCGTTGTACTGAGGCATGATATACTGTAAGACCTTCTTGATGAAGAGTTTAGGTTACTGTGCATTTAAACATGAAAAGAAGAGGAACTTTGTGAATACTCTAAAGTGTATAAAGAAAAACAGTCAAAGAGATGTTTGAGTGGAGATCTATCTTAGGTAACCTGTGTTGGATCTCTTTGACATTTATGCATTTTAACATGAAAAAATAGCTTAACACTATTGTAGAACTGATTTGTCAATTATCTCTTACTTTTCTGTTTTAGAATGGGTTTCCATGTGCCACCATTCTGTTCCATTTCCCACTTGCACCTTCATGTCATAGCACCAGTTGATCAGCTTGGCTTCTTATCAAAATTGGTTTATAGACCAAATTCCTATTGGTTCATCACAGTAAGTGTTATTGTTATACTAGCAGCATATAAAAGTATATAAAATATTTGTCCTTTTTTATGTAGCTTTTCTTTTCTTGGAGACAGCTGTTATAGGCTTGATCATCAATTTTAACATACTGCTTGCACATATCCAAAATAATATTTTTAATTTGGGGGATTTTTCAGGTCATCAGATCTGTAGAAGAGAAGCTAAGGCTGAGTCTCTCCATTGCAGGTAGAGGATGTGATATAGAAGAATCATGGCATTTATAGTTCAGAATCCAGAATCAAATCTGGATTCAAATTCTGGCTTCATTAATTACTTGAGGGACCCTGTGCAAGTTACTTAAGATTTTTAAGGCCCAAGTTCTTTATTACCTGCATATAGGTAATAGTACCTATTTCTGTAGAATTTATAAAATAATTTACATGTAAAGCACTTAAAACTGTACCTTACAAACTGAACATACCTTACAAATAGTAAGTACTCAATAAATGTTACCTGCAGCCTCTGTCTTCATTAGCAACATTATTGTAGAAATTGAGATTTTGTAATTTTTGATATTTAAACTTCTTAAAAAAGGGCTGTAGTAGTAGCATCAACTACCAGATGAGAGGTTGAAGCTTTGAGCCTAAAACATTGCAAAATTCTGCTTTGCTAGGACAAAAGTAGAATAGAAGTCAGCTGCTTATAGACCTGTGGTCTGACAGTCAAGGTTAAAAAATGACTCGGTCCTTCCAGGGCCACTTGCCTAGTGATTTGCCAGCCTCTTATTTTATGCGTCCATGATGATAAGGTGACCTAGAGTTGCTATATCTGAGTAATTATAAAATTGTAAATTAAATAATTACCATTAATTAATGCATATTATAATAGTCATAGTAAATAAGAAATTCAAAAACACCTGATTTCTAGAAACCTCATATTTCAAACTTATTTTTTCTTTCTTCAACTTGCTTAAATGATTTTATTTAATTAAAATATATTTAAGGAATGTGTGTGTATTTGAAATGAAATAGTGTGATATTTTGTAGGACAGTTGGTGTGGTCTTTAAAATATCAGTGTAACTAAAAACAAGATTTTTTTCTTGTATTTGTATTTCTAATTTTCTACATGAGCCATGCTTCTATAATAAAAACTAATTAAAAATACATTTTTGTAAAATAGTCATGGGGATATAAAGTACAGTATAAGGAAGATAGTCAATAATATTGTAATGACTATGCATGGTGTCAGAAAGTTACCAGACTTACTGAGGTGAACACTTCTTAAGGTACATACATATCTAATCACTATGTTGTACACTTGAAACTAATATAATATTATATGTCCACTGTATTTGAAAAATCATTTTTTTAAGAGGGGAATTCTGGCCCATGCTACAGCATGGATAAACCTTGAGGACATTATGCTCAGGGAAATAAACCACATAGTATATGATTCCACTTATATTTAGGTTTTCTGTAAGATAGTTTTAGGAAGAGAATATGTATTATCCAGCCAGTCTGCTGTGGTTTATTATAACAGGGATGCCATAGAATTTTTCACACCAGCTACCATATTTGTGGTAAAAAACATGTTGTGTTTTTAAAATTACAGGCTGACTATTTGATTGAAAAACTAAGAACATGAAAATGACAGCAGTGGAAGATTTTCTTATTCTTGGCTCAACAGACACTAATATTTTGGTCCCTTTTAAATCAAATTACAATGGTAAGGTTTGTTGGGTTTTATAAGAGGCTATTACTGGGTAGCCTTAAGTCTTTTCTGAATGTCTATTTCCTGAAATCTGTAATATATGACTACTCTGGCATTGTCTTCTTTGTTTTAATGGTTACTTGTCTAAGGTATAAGATACTACAGATAAAATTTTATTAAAACAAATTCTATTAATCAAGAAGGGCTCTGTATTTTTTAAAAGTTCAAGTATTTTCATTTCTCATTATTGTCAGTTACAATAGTGATTTATTATGAAGAATAAATGGGTATAGAAAGTACTTTGTTGGAGTTTTTATTAATTATGAAAGAGAAAAAAGAAATTAACTATCTCTTGACAGTTTCATAATTTTGTACATATTTCAAAGTAAAGTACTGTATTACACAGTGATCTCTGATCTTGATAGAATTTATATGTGTCACTTTTAAAAAAATATTTTTTATTGATTTTAGAGAGGAAGGGAAAGGGAGAGAGAGATAGAAACATCAATGATGAGAGAGAATCATTGATTGCATGCCTCCTGCATGCCCCCTACTGGGGATCGAGCCTGCAACTCAGGCATGTGCCCTCAACTGGAATTGAACCTGTGACCCTTCAGTCTGTAGGCCGATGCTCTATCCACTGAGCCAAGCCGGCTAGGGCTATATGTCACTTTTTACTCAGATTTCAGATGTTGGCTTTTACTTCTTGAAGCCTAGCATTTGTGTAATAAATTAGTCCTGAAATCTGTATAATATATAAATGCAATAACAATCAATTTGGCTATCTAAGAGAATTCACTGTAATGGAATTTTACCTGTAAGAACATATGTGGGAAATAAAGATAAAATAGTTACATTAATTTATTAAAATAGGCAGAAACTGCTGTTTTATGGTTTGTTTGCTGTGCCAAAGGAAAATTAGAATTGAAAAGTAATTATATCTAGTTTTAATCATGGAAACATCCTGGTTTGAAAGTAGAGAGAGACTGTCTTGGATGAGAAAATGTATGTTAATAACACAATATTAACTTTATTGATGTATTATTTTATGAGACATATTTATTTAGGAATTGCCTTTTGTTGCTAATCTATATTAATAATATCACTATGTGAATGAAGAATAGCAGGTACCGAAAGCTAATCCTACATTGTGCCAGTGTGTATTAGTACTATGTACTTGAATATAAATGAACATAAGAATTAAAATATTGATGTTAGGAATGTAAGGATTATATTCATTCATTCAGCAAACATTTACTGAGCATTCAACGTGTATTAGCCATTGCCAAGATCAGCAAATATAGAAGTGGGAAAGGACTGCCTTCAGTGGCTAAAACCAGTGATTACAATTAAATGTGTTAAGTGCTATAAGGTCTACAGAAGAGGCTGTGGAGAGGGAAACACTTTTGAGAGCAGGTGGCAGTAGAATTGAGTATTTAACACTCAATGTTAGGCAGGAAGACAGTGGAACTTTAGGTTGAGACCCAAATGTACTTTTTCTTGTGTTCTGCTTCCATTATAATTTACTTTACAATTGACATGAATGCCTGAATTCCATTTTATTCACCAGAGGTGGAGAGAGGAATTCAGGAGTAGGGGTCATGGACTCTCAAAATTAGATTAACAAGTTTTTGAGCACTGCTTTGTTAAGTAGCTTGCTGAGCACCTACATAGATTAGCAGCTACAAGTTTATATAAATCAGTTCAAATATGACCAGATGCAGAAAAGGAATATTCAGCATGTGCTTCATGTTGTACTATGTGAACTTGCAATGACATAATTGACAATTATGGTAATAACATGTAGTACTTATGGAATTTTCAGTGACTTATGAACCTTTTAAAAAATGTATGCCTGGCTGGTGTAGCTTAGTGGCTGAGCATCGACCCATGAACCAGGTGGTCATGGTTCTATTCCTGGTCAAGGCACATTCCCGGGTTGCGGGCTTGATCCCTCGTTGGGGACATGCAGGAGGCAGCCAATTGATGATTCTCTTCATTGATGTTTCTATCTCTCTCTCCCTCACCCTTCCTCTCTCTGAAATCAATGAAAACATATTTTTTAAGAATGTGATTAGCCAGTTGATTTAATTCATATAAGTTTATACTCTCACAGTACGCTTTTCTTCTTTGTGGAAAAACCCTTGGAACCTCACACTTTTAGGTCAGTTTTATTTTACTTGTAAAGATTGATAATGAAATAATTGCAATTAAAACTTACACAGCCTTTTCAGTAGTTTAAGAATTTGGTAACTCTCTAACTATCTATAACATTAGCTCAACACAAAGCTATTTCAAAACCTGTTTTAAAATGTTTTAAGTAGTATCGAACTTAAAATAATTCTAAAAAAAAGTATGTTGCCCTGACCTGTTTGGCTCAGTGGATAGAGCGTCCAGTCGGCCTGCGGACTGAAGGGTCTCAGGTTCGATTCCAGTCAAGGGCATGTGCCTTGGTTGCGGGCACATCCCCAGTAGGGGGTGTGCAGGAGGCAGCTGATCGATGCTTCTCTCTCATCGATGTTTCTAGCTCTCTATCTCTCTCCCCTCCTCTCTGTAAAAAATCAATAAAATATATATTTTTTAAAAAAAGTATGCTAATTTTTATGAATTAGCTTTTATTCTAGCAATATAATACAGGATGGGACAAAAGTAGATTTACAATTGTTCATATGAAAAATAGTACAATAATTAATAAATAAGAATAAACTTTTTCATGTACTCACTATAAATCTACTTTTGCCCCACCCTGTATAAAAAACATCTCTGATTCAGCTTAAATAAACTTGGTACCTTGCAATCTCAGTCTCATTGTAAACAAAAGAATCAAATTAAGTAAAATTAAGGACTGGCCCAAAGAGCAAAGGCATCCCTAATTTTGGCAGGCCCTGGGTTAGGCTTCTTTTTGGAAAACTTTCTATTTCAGCCAGCAGCAGAACAGTTTCGCTCAGTCAGGCTGAATCTTACATTTGCCTGGAAATGTATGGCCCTTGATTATTTGAATTGTGGCAGCACTAGAGTTTAAGAATGACTATGAGAGAAGACTGAATCTCCAGCCCATTGTCATTCACATTTTTTCTCTGCAGAACCTGTTTCACAGGTAAGAAATTAGTGGGCTGAAATTGCAATTAGGGCTTCAGATTTGCTCTGGAGAGTCTTTTGACCAAAGGACAAGATCTACTTTGCTCCACTTCTAGTTGGGAGTTTAACCTCAAGGAGCAGAGTCATACTTAAATCAACTGCAGCTGCTTAAGTTTGAGTTGGTGCCTCAGAGTCCCAGCTTGTTCAGGTCTGCTGCCCGAGAGCACCTGCTGTCCTCTCCTTCTCTTCCTGAATCCTCTCCATTAAGCTTGATGATGCTGGAGACTCGTCTGTTCCATAGTTCTTATATAATTTCTCCCAATAAAATTTTATTCTCCAAACTGTTCAAAAGCCCCCTTGTTTTTTACTCATTGCAAAAATCTTCTATTTTAGTAACTAATAGGAAGACACATTTTCTCCCTCTCATTGGCGCACAAATCCCTGTGGTTCTCTGTGATACCCAATCCCTTTTCAGGTGTTAGATGCTCCATCTGATACAGATGCATGAGCAGTGTTGACATTACACATGACAACTGCTGTTGGAAACTTAACTCTGCTCATTTCCTTTCTTCACTGACTCTGTGCTACTAGTCTCAACACTGTAGTGGTTTGTTATAATCATAACACGACACAACATTCTCCAATTCCCGGTCCTTACCTCCCAGCAACGTGTCTGGTTTTTTAAATAATCAACAGTCTGTACCAGAGGCTTCCATGCTTGAACAACAGTGATTCTCACGGGAGGAGCCAAGTCTCTTAGAGTTCAGCCCTGGTGGATGAAGCAGGGATCCAGCTTTGGGTAAGTTCCCAGAAGACAGACAATGGACCTCCTTGCCTCATTCAGTACAAAAAAAAAAAAAAAATGTAAGTTTCTAGATTCTAGTTTGAACACCAGCTTCCAAAGTCCAAACTCTTCTGTGGTTCCTTAACTACTCTAGTAAACTGGAAAAACATTGGACAGGCCAGGCTGTGAGTCCCTCAAAGGTAGTTTCACACTAACCCTAATGGCCTGCCTGTGCAGGGTTAATTTCTTAAGAGAAGAAATATCTCCTTGAATGCCATTTATCAGCCCCATACAATACGCCAGGTATTACATTAAACACTTTATGTACATCACTTCGCTGGGTCCTAACAATCCCTTGAAGGAGGCAGTATTTTTACGTGAGATAAGAGAGGCTAAGACATTTGTTTACAAACATACAGTTGGTAAATAGTGGAACCGAGGTCTGGACCTAAGATTAACACCACAGCTTATGTTCTTAATCACGAGCTAAGCATCAGCTACCTTCTTGGCACAGGATGCGCAGATGTAGGATACCGACCCTGTTGTACTTTGCACCTCACTACAGTGGCATGCAGAATAGCTCCCAATGAAGGATCCCGTGCGCTCAAAAGCAACAGCACATACACCTTAACATGCAAATTATTAAAACTTGTATGTGCTGACTGCTACGGCGAATGTGCTAGAGCGAACAGCTGGAAGCAGCTTCCATCATGGTTTTAACACACGGTTGGCTGCGGTCAGGGCGGTCTAACGTCACAACCTCGAAGTGATTGGTGCTTACACCGAGGAGGACATTGTGTTGCTTTCTCTGAGGTACGGAATGAACACGAGTGATGTTCTTGGTCCTCCAGAGTTTACTACAATTGGCTTACAAAGCATGTATCCTTAAAAGGTTATTGCAAAAATGCAGGAAGTATAGGAAATGCTGAGTGAGTGGTTCAGGGCAGTCAGTCCCAGAGCCTGGAGGGTCAGAGAAGTCTGCGCGAGGAGCGGACGTTTCAGAACCGCTTCCGGGAACCGGGTTTGAGAAAGGTGCAGAGCGACTGGCGGGGCGCCCCGGCGGGAGGGCGCGGGGCCGCCGGTCTCCCCGCCACCAGCCCCGGACACAGCGCCTCCCGGCTACGCCCACTCAGGGCCTCCGCCTGAGGGCGCGCCGCAGCGACAGCTCCTCCCGCGCCGCAGGGTGAGGATCCCGGGACTGCGCCCGCCCCTCGGAGCTTCCGCTTCCGGCCCTCCAGGCCCCGCTTCGGCGGAAACGACTCTGGGGGGGTGGAAGGGGCGGGGGGAGGGGGGAGGAACACCGCGCGGGGCGGCGCATGCGCACCACTGGCGGCCGCTATGGCGCTGCCGTGCTCCCTGAATCGGTACCTGCTGCTCATGGCGCAGGAGCACCTGGAGTTCCGCCTGCCGGTGAGCCTGCGGACCCTCCACAACTTCCGACTCCGGGGGCGGCGCGGTGGGTGGGGTGCGGGGGGGCGGGAGCCGCGCAGCCGAGCACGCAGGGGTGCAGGGGGGCGTGCTCGTCGGGCATCGCGCCTCCCAGCCCCGCGGTGCAGGGTGTGCGTGAGAGGGGTCCGACACAGACCTTCCCGCCCCGCCGGCGTTTCACTCCTCCCTCTCCCCGGGGCCGGGGCCGGGGCCGGAGGTGGGCGGGCGGGCGGGCGAACGGGACGGTCCTCTAACCCGGAGCTCCCCGTGGGCGAGGGGAGCCGGCCGACAGCGGGGTCGGTGCGGCGTCTCCGTCTCAGACGGGCCGGGCGCACTCGGGGGGAGCGGGTGGCGGCGGGGGTGGTGCAGCTTAGTTGATGGAGAAGTCGGGGAAGCGTGTTATTCATTCATTCATTCACGAGACACGCTCAGAGTGCCCGCGATTGAGTATGCAGGACGCTGGGGACGCGATGGTGACAAAGGTAGTGTCCACCCGCAAGCAGCTTGCCGCTTACGTCAAGGGCTGAGCAGATGCATCAATACAGTGTTTTGAAGTAACGGTGTAAGTGCAGTGCTAGAGAGATGCGCAGAGAAATAGGAGAACATATAGAAAGGGAATCCAATCCACCTGAGTGTGTGTGTGTGTGGGGGGGGGGGCGCCTTTGAGATGGTTTCCATGAATAGCAACTGAGGGATGAGTAGCAGCTAACCAGGCCAAGAAGAGAAATAAGTAAATTAGAATTACACGCTATTCTTATTACCGGATTACAGAATACGCAGCTGAGAGTGATAAGAAGAGGACAGGAGAGGTGGAAAGGGACTAGAGACCCAAAGCCTTCAGCACTGGGGAGCTTGGAAGGGGAATTGATTGAAGAACGTTAAGTCAGGAAGCGGGGGAATCAGAGTCAGACTTTCCCTTTATTAAAGGCACTTTGGCAGCAGCGCAGAGGATAGATCTGAGGGGAGTAAGTCTAGAATCAGACCAGTTAGGAGTCTGTTGGAGTAGCCTTGTTAATGGAGTAAGAAGGCCTGAACTAGGGCGAGGGGTAAGAGGATGGACTAGACCGGCAACATAGGTGATGAAATGATCAGGGCTGGATAGTCAATTGAATAGGGGTGGGAGTGGGGGGCGGGAGAGAAGGAAGGATCAATCAAGGATGAGTCTTGGGGTGGACATAAGGGTGTCTTTATTTATTAACATAGAGAGCATAGCCAGATGTAAGCTTTAAGTTTTGGCTGTGCTGAATTTAATGTGCTTGTATAACGTAAAACATCAAGTGGAGATGACCAGAAGGCAGTGAATACATGCATGAGTATGCATAGGCCATGATAGAATGGTCTGGACCGGTAGTAAATATTTGGGAGTCTTCTGCATAGGAATACTAGGAGAGAAAATGAAATTTTTCAGAGAAAGCGTAGTGTCAGAAGAATGGTGAGCCAAATACAGGTGCTTGGACATATTAAGGAGAAGCGAGAAGAGAAGGCCGTGAAGATAGGCAAGTGTCACAACAGGAAGGGTGAGAGGCCACAGAAAACTGAAGGATGAAATTTTAGGAATTTTGCTCTAGCTGTTGTGTAGGTTTTTTTGGGGGGTGGGGGTGGGGTTGGATTGCTTGGCTTAATGGTCACAAAAGATGAGGAAGGAAAGATAGAATAGTGCTCTTAACTAGAGCTTGATGGAGCATAAGAAGGGAACCTAAGATTGGTTAATAGTTTGAGGGACCTAGGGCAGTGATGGCGAACTCATTTTTTGGGTTGATATTTCTTTGTTAAATGGCATTTAAATATATAAAATATATATCAAAAATACAAGTCTTTGTTTTACTATGGTTGCAAATATCAAAAAATTTCTATATGTGACACGGCACCAGAGTTAAGTTAGGGTTTTTCAAAATGCTGACATGCCGAGCTCAAAAGGTTCACCATCACTGATCTAGGGTCAAGGGAGGACCCCTTCCCCCAGAGATGGGCTAGTTAATAGGCTGAGGAGACGGGGAAATGGATATAAAGTCACAGGTGGAGGAGGTGTTGGTCTTTCAGTAGAAATGAAGAGTGGGCAAGGGATGGGTGTGGGGTAGCTGCCCCAAGGCCTGCTTTCCAGGTAGTGGGTGAGTCAAGGCTATTTACTTGAGAGATGGGGAACACAGCAGGTTTACCGAGAAATTGAGGGAAACAGTAAACTTTGGAATAACCTTTGAGAGCAAAACAGGGAGCTGGCCAGTTACACAGTTGAGGAGAGAAGAATGCGGGTGTCGGAGCAGTGCGGACCACTCGGCCGAGGGCGAAGAGCCTGCGTTTGTAATTTTGCCAGGTTCTGTGATTTTCTTCGGTTGTGCTCAACTTACTGGCCTCAGGACTTAATAAGACAGATTGTGTCATTCAGAATTAATGTTCTGCTGGGAGGGTGTATGGGCGAGACGGGGGTGCAAGGGCATAGAGCAGCCGTGGGCAAACCACGGCCCGCGGGCCGGATCCGGCCCCTTTGAAATGAATAAAACTGGAAAAAAAAAAGACCGTATCCTTTTATGTAATGATGTTTACTTTGAATTTATATTAGTTCACACAAACACTCCATCCATGCTTTTGTTCCGGCCCTCCCATCCAGTTTAAGAACCCATTGTGGCCCTCGAGTCAAAAAGTTTGCCCACCCCTGGCATAGAGTTTCATTGAGTGAGTAGTACTTTAATTAGATCTTTTTTTAAAATATATATATATTTTATTGATTTTTTACAGAGAGGAAGGGAAACAGAGAGTCAGAAACATCGATGAGAGAGAAACATGGATCAGTTGCCTCCCACACATCTCCCACTGGGGATGTGCCCGCAACCAAGGTACATGCCCTTGACCGGAATCAAACCCAGGACCTCTCAGTCCGCAGGTTGACGCTCTATCCACTGAGCCAAACCGGTTTCGGCTAGATCTTAATTGATATAGGAGATGTTCTGTGGGCGAAGAGAGCTGGAAAGCCCACTTCCATGAGAATCGATAGCAAGTATTCGTAGGCAGGGTAGGTGATTATGGTGACCTGGCACATGGGAGGTGTGGGGAGGGAGGATGACCAGTAGGCAGTGAGGATAGAGATGAGGGTAGGAACCGGATTTTGGAGTGTTTTGTAACCATTGGATTTAATTTTAAGTTAAATGGGAGCCATTGACTCTTTTTTCCTTTTTAAGTCAGGAAGTGACAAAGTGTTTTTTTCTTTTTAAGCCAGGAAGTGACTAGTAATCATTTGTGCAATAAAAAGGTAATTCTGGAGTACCAAAGGAAGGATACCACTTAGATCAGGGATGGCAAACCTTTTGAGCTCGGCGTGTCAGCATTTTGAAAAACCCTAACTTAACTCTGGTGCCGTGACACATATAGACATTTTTTGATATTTGCAACCATAGTAAAACAACGATTTATATTTTTGATATTTATTTTATATATTTAAATGCCATTTAACAAAGAGAAATCAACCAAAAAATGAGTTCGCTTGTCATCTCTGACACGTGTGTCATAGGTTCGCCATCACTGACTTAGAGGAATACTGGAGTGGAACTAGACTGAGGCCGCAGGGTGAGTGCCTGTGGTCAGGCAATGCTTTGAGAAGGGTGTGGTTAGGCTGCAGTCTTAGAAAATAGCGTCCCTGCCCTGGCCAGTGTGGCTCAGTTGGTTGAGCCTAGTCCCATGCACTGAGGTCACTGGTTTGATTCCAGGACAGGGCACATGCCCGGGTTGTTGGCTCAATCTCCAGTAGGGTGTGCAGGAGGCAGCCGTTCGATGTTTCTCTCTTCGATGTTTCTCTCTCTCCCTCTCCCTTCCTCTTTCTCTCTCTAAAATCAATCAATCAATATATATAGCATTTCTGGTACTTGGTGATTTTACCTGTTTCTTCCTACTTTAATTCTTCTTAGTTTAATCTCCCAAGGTTTATATCCTCACTAGAGGCCTGATGCACGAAATTCGTGCAAGGGCCTTGGTCCTGGCCCCCGCCTGCCACCACCATGACTGGGTGCCTCTGCTGCGGCCCCCACCCACTGTGGCTTTGATGGAAGGAAGGACGTCCAGTCTAATTAGCATATTACGCTTTTATTATTATAGATTGTCCTAAGGCTGACACCCCTTAGTCTGGGACTCATGGCACCCCAACCCCCCTGCCCCCCCCCCCCCCCCCCCCCACACACACACAATGCAGCCAAATCTGATTCCCCATCATTCCCTGAATGATGCCTTCTGTTTTCCTGCTTTGGCCTGTAATCCATTTTTATCTAATTTGGATCTTTCCTTTTTTTTTTTTTTTTAAATATATTTTATTGATTTTCTACAGAGTGGAAGGGAGAGGGAGAGAGAGTCAGAAACATTGATGGGAGAGAAACATCGATCAGCTGCCTCCTGCACACTCCCCACTGGGGACGTGCCCTCAACCAAGGTACATACTTGACTGGAATCGAACCTGAGACCCTTCAGTCCGCAGGCCGATGCTCTATCCACTGAGCCAAACCGGTTAGGGCGGATCTTTCTCAATCTTCAATCTATTTATTTCATATAGCCAATATTCATTTAACTTACCTACGTATTTGTTTATTGTCACTTTCCTTTTTTAATAGTTTTGATCCTCTGCCAAAATTCTTGATTTTGTCTTTTATTCCCTTTAACATAGAAAGCACAATTCTGTTAAAGTATGTGACTGCTAAAAGGGCCCTGTAGGTCTGTTTCTATGATGTATGGCTCCCCGCTCCCCCCCCCCCCCCCCGGGTTCTTTTTCATATGTGTACTGGGTTATTTTTTAAATATGTGCCAAATGTTGTATCTGTAAATTTATTTGAAGAAATAAAACATGAGGCCCAGGATGATGTAAGCCCTTGAAGAAGAAGGTAGCACACAGGGTCATAACAATCTAGGATCACTTGAGCTCCTTTTCAGGCGTTCAGTTTTGTTTCTGTTCTGATTCACAGGTACTCCTGGGGTTTGTAGGTTTTGGGGATTCCAGTTTAAACTGGGTGGTTTATTAGCCTCCTTTCCTCCCCATTGGGTGGCCCTATTCTCTTTTTGTCCCTCTCTCTTCATTAAGCTGTCCAAAGGGCTACCTGCCTTCACAGCTGATGTGAAGGTCGGTAAATCTCCCGGGAAGCCTGTGGCTGCACCTTGGGCGGTCGTCCTCTCCCAGATCTTGGTTTGACGATTCTTGTAATCTCTCCATGCCTCTAGCAGATGCCAGGTTTTTCTAGTTCTCAGCAGAAGACTTAATCTGAATTACCCAGTTTTCCATCACTGGAAGTCAGCCACCATTGAAACTTTTCTTCTAAAACTGAAATAGTCTTTTCCTCCCTTGTCCTCTAATATAACTTATATATATATTTTGCTTTGCTTCTTTAAGAACACTCAATGTTTACACCTCACATTTCAGTTACTAGGTTAAATATTAACTTACCATAATTTGTGCTTAATAAATTCACAGTGATGCTCCCTAGTTAATCATTTATTTTTATTTTTTATTTTTCTTAATTCAACATATATATAGTCATCTGATTAACTGAGCAGGATAGCAAAGTTAATTTGCAATGGGACTCTTGTCACTTTTGCCTGTTATTTGGTAAAATTGTTGGTCTTTTAATCACAAATTAATACATCACTAGTTATTTTAGTTTCTAGAGAAAGAATGGTTCCAAATATGGCTTGTAAACAAATATATTAACAATACTATGCTAGTAATAAAAAAATTAAAATACATTAAAAGTACCATTTTTTTAATCAATTGACACAATAATGGTACAACAGCCAGTTGAGAAGTAGTGAAGTGAAATCAATACTCTTACCTTATAATTTAGGACAACCCTTTAAGAAAGTATTTTGGCATATAAACTGTAAGAAGCCATAAAAATGTCATCTCTCTGGATATAGTAACCCTACTTATTGTGACTCATAAAGAAACCCAAAATATGGAAAAAGCCATATATTCATAAAATGTATATGTTAGCCTTATTTTAAACTGATAGAATTGAAAACCACCCAAAATATTCAGCCTAAAGTATATTGTTTCTTATTGAAAAGTTTGCAAGACTGATGCCAAGGAGGAAAATCTTTATGCTATTACAATTCAAAGAGAAGAAAAGAGAATCTTAAACATGTTTGCAAACATGTTATTTCTTTTCTGAACATTCTCAAATCATCTATGTAATTTATTTTTATTGCTCTAGTATCAGTTTTACTAATCTGTAGTTCTTGTAATCTGTGCTTTTTTTTCTTTTCAAAATTAGGACAATTTCTGATCAGATCTTTTAGCAATTGTATTGTATAAAATTTCTCAGAAATGACTTACTATTTGTGACTCTAAATTTTTTTTTTAGAACCTGGAGATGTAATTTGTGAGGTATTGAATTTTAAATGCTTTAGGTAGGTCTTCAACCCACTCTTTTCATTTTTTTTTAAATCCTCACCTGAGATTATTTTTTCCATTAATTTCTAGAGAGAGTGGAAGGGAGGGAGGGAGGGGGAGGGAGAGAAACATCCACATGAGAGAGACATGTTGATTGGTTGCCTCCCACATTCACCACTCCGGGGGCTGGGGAACCTGCAACCGAGATACCTACCCTTGCCTGGGAATCAAACTTGTGATCCTTCCATTTGAGGGCCTATACTAACCACTGAGCCAAACCAGCCAGGGCCCACTCTTTTCATTTTTAATTGTATTGTATTTATGTCTTTTAATACATTTTGCATTCTCTGTATTAAAATGTGTTCTCTCTATAATATTTTCAATATAGGAAATAAAGTCTTTGCTTTCACTTTTTGGAGGTCAGTTCACTAATAATCAGGAAACTTATGGAAAGGTAAGTTGAATTTATATTTTTCAGTAAATCATACATAATATAAATAGAACCTTGGATTTAAAGAGAAGAACTGCAAATGTTAAAGTTATAAAATTAAAAAAAATTCAAGATTATACTTTGGGATTTTATATGCATTAATTATTTTGTCAAACTACATAAGAGAGCAACTACAAAATTAATCTGAAGTTTAAATAACCTTAAATTTGCTAGTATTGTCATTTATAGAGTCACTTATAAAAATGTTCTTGTTACCGGTGGCAGTAGGATATCCCTTTCTCCACTGAGTGCTGGTGGTGGATCCTTATGATATCTCGGGAAAAGGAATTTTCTGAGTCTTGCACAAGAGGATGAATGAATGTTACTTGTGTGGAATTACATCTCTGTGTTTCCTAAGTCCCATTTCCCTTAGTGTAGCTGGGGATTCAGTAGAGCTAAAGCAGTTCAATGTCTAGAGTTTCTGTTCCATATTGCAGTCGGGTCCAGTTTAGCATCAGGCTGGTTGCAGTCCATTAGTCCATTGTGTGTGGGGTCCGCATGGGCCATGTGCGCAAATACAAGAAGCAGGATTCGAGCCAGGAGTCAACCAAGAGAAACCAGGAAAAAACCAAGAGAGCAAACGCCTTTGTTTAGGGGATTAAATATCTCAAAAATCTTCCTGTGTTTACAGTGGCCACGCCTACTCTGGCCACTGACAGGCAAGTACCTTCCTAATGCCACCCCAAGCACCTATTCTCCCACCTGTCCAGTTCCTTCCCCAGCAATCTGTGGGGAGTGGACTGGTAGCTCTCTGAGGAGGTTTGAACTGCAGCTTCCTGGCAGAGCTGCCCAATGACTTGCCTATAATATTTGGCCTGCCCTTTTGTTCCTTTCCTGTTATTAATAACTAGGTTAATTATAACAGTATCATTCTGATATTATACAATAATATTTTATTAAAATGATTTACTTTTTTTACTATTAGAACAATGTTAATTTTGGTTAGAGTCAGATCACATATTGTCTAAAAGTAGCAAATAGGAATATCTCCTTATTGACTTCTTGAGTAAAAGCATATGAGGCCATAAAGCCCATTTGAAGTAAGTTGTATTTTGTTTTTTTCTTTCAGTCTCCTTTTTGGATACTTACTATTCCCTCTGAAGATATTGCCAGAAACTTAATGAAACGGACAGTGTGTGCCAAGTAAGGAAAACTTATAATGTTCTTCTGCATCAGTGTATACAACACTTCTCATAAATACTCTGCCCTACTTTTTGCTATATTGGCAGAAAGTAGAAGTGGTTGGTTGTTGGGGGGAGGTCAATTTAGCCTGCAGTTACCTGCATTTGCCACTGGATGGGGCTGGGGGGACAGAGGAGAGTTACCTGCTAAAACAGTGAAAGAATCTCAGTGTGAAATGCAGAAACACTTAGTTCAGAATAATTTTTTAAAACTTCTATATTAAGCAGAAGTATGGTATAAGATGTAAATGCTATGCTATTACATAGGGTAAATGCCACACTTAATTATAACCAAAAATCTAAACTGTTTTTCTTGTAGATGGTTTTTAGTTGGATGAGCAGATTGGTGAATGTAAGATGACAAAAAGTGAGGACTGCCATGAAATAAGTTTTTCTGTTTTAGTTTTTAGAGGAGTTCTGATTATCGTAATTTGGTATGAATTACACTGTTTATCCTACTTGAGTGTTTTCTAGAATTTATCGTTGGCATTTTCTGTTTTTTCCTTTTGTTTCTTTTTTTATTAGAAAATTTTCTACTTTGGGGTTTGAAAGTTAAACTGTATTTTCAACATTCATCTTAAAATTGGACCAACTTATGTTTGAGTTGCTTTGTTTTCTGAACATTTTGGCAGATTACTGAATGCCTTCTTTCCTTAAAAATAACATTTAATACTGCAGTGCAAATATGAATTTATATATACCTAGTTTTATTAACATGGTTGGCAATATTGAGTAGACTATAAACCAATATTTAGTTAAATTCATCACAGTACTACCTCTAATCTCTTAAACTATAAAGCTTGTTAATGGGCCTAATGTATTTAATAAAAATGACTAGACAATGGAAGCATAACTAAGAAACCCATCCTTAATTAGTTACTTCTTTAGATTAGCATATTAAAAGTTATGGCTCTCAAAGATGTTTGATTTCCAAAGATGTGGTTCATTAGGTTTAAAGTAGCTGCTTGAGGACCAAGAACTTGTACACTTCCTTTAAAGCTCATATCTTCTGATGCATATATTTCATAAATGGTACAATTAACAATTGTGTAATGATTATATAATAGAATATAATAATTTCCGTGGCTGTTTTTTATTTTCTGTATGTTTTGTATAGCTGAGGTCACTCCTTAAGTGATAGCTGTGTAAGTGCAGAATTACTGTAGAGGTCCTCTTTCTATAAATTCAATACAAAGGAAAGGAGGAATTCATTTTCAAAAGATAATCTCAATTCTAATGGCATTGTTAATTACAATTATGAAGTAGTTTAAATTTAGATACACATAACTGTGCTAATATGTAGATTGAGTTCTCTTTCAACTAATTCTAAGAACTATTTCACTGGTTGCAATGAAATCTTGCTTGTAATTGTTTCAATGTTGCTAGAAATATATGGGAGCTTAAGAATATTTTTTAATGTAAGAATTTCTGTAATAGTTATAAAAGTAATTGCTAGTTACTAAATGTTACTAAGTAATAGCTAAATATTAATAGTAACATTTTTATCTGGTCATTTTTCTTTTTTGTTTTATGGAGAAGACACTGGGAAAAATTGGATTTCCTGCAGCTTTTCACCCATTTACTAAAATAACTTAAGTGATTTTACTACATCATTTGTGATTTATGATAAATTCATCTCCTTATGTGTAAAGTTCAATTCCTATGTGTGATTTGGACATAAGCTATATTTGTTTCTGGATACATACTCTCATTGATAGCTCAGGAAACATAGGCAATACTTGTTTTAGTGGAATGAGCATAAAGAACTAGTGAAATCATTGTGACACATTACTGTGTGAACTGATCTCTTACCTGCGGTTAGTGCTGATCGTTTATTTCCTAGGTCCATATTTGAGCTGTGGGGTCATGGGAAATCTCCAGAAGAGCTGTATAGTTCTCTCAGAAACTACCCCGTGGAGAAGATGGTGCGTAGCGAAGTGTGGCGTCATGTATCTGTCTGCAGATACTGTAGAATTCCTAAGCCTGAAGAACGTCTCTGCTTTTATTTCAGGTTCCATTTCTACATTCAGATTCTACATATAAAATAAAGATTCACACATTCAATAAAACATTGACACAAGAAGAAAAAGTCAAACGAATAGATGTAAGTGAATTTAGCAAAACCAAAAAACCTGTGAAATTAATATAGTCTAACCCCGCCCTAACCGGTTTGGATCCGTGGATAGAGCATCGGCCTGCGGACTGAGGGGTCTCAGGTTCAATTCCGGTCAAGGGCACATCCCTAGTTGGGGGTGTGCAGGAGGCAGCTGATTGATGTTTCTCTCTCATCGATGTTTCTGACTCTGTCCCTCTCCCTTCCTCTCTGTAACTAATTAATAAAATATATTATATATATATATATATGTGTATGTATATATATATATATATATGTGTGTATGTGTGTGTATGTATATATATAGTCTGACCCAGGGGTGGGCAAACTTTTTGACTCGAGGGCCACAGTGGGTTCTTAAACTGGACCAGAGGGCCGGAACAAAAGCATGGATGGAGTGTTTGTGTGAACTAATATAAATTCAAAGTAAACATCATTACATAAAAGGGTATGGTCTTTTTTTTTTTTTTTTAGTTTTATTCATTTCAAACGGGCCGGATTCGGCCCGCGGGCTGTAGTTTGCCCACGGCTGGTCTAACCCCTGTTATATAATAATTCCAGTGTTTATTAAGTGTTTATTTTGTAGCACATTGTGTGCTAAGTATGTTTCATGTTTTGTCTCATTAAATCCTAATACAAAACTTATAAGATAGGTATTATTATATAAGCACTATTTTTCCTTTTAAATTTTTATAGGACATTGGAATTACTTTTATTTTGTAGGCTCTTGAGTTTCTGCCATTTGAAGGAAAAGTAAATTTAAAGAAGCCACAGCATATATTCTCTGTTTTGGAGGATTATGGTTTGGACCCCAACTGCATTCCTGAGAATCCACATAATATTTATTTTGGTAGATGGGTAAGGAAATGTTCTTTTTACCTATTTAAGTTTATTTTCTTTCAAAGCTAAATTCTGGGCCTTTTTATTTAACTCTAGATGTAGAACTTGATAGCAGCTGAAGAGCCAGAACTGTATGAATTAAAGTCAGTGAAAAATATGTGGTTATGTGGTTGGCTGGTTGGCTGGTTGGCTGGTTGGCTGGTTGGCTGGTTGGTTGGTTGGTTGGTTGGCTGGCTGGCTGGTTGGCTGGTTGGCTGGTTGGCTGGTTGGTTGGCTGGTTGGTTGGCTGGTTGGTTGGCTGGTTGGTTGGCTTGCTGGCTGGTTGGCTGGCTGGTTGGTTGGCTGGCTGGTTGGCTGGCTGGTTGGCTGGCTGGTTGGCTGGCTGGTTGGTTGGCTGGTTGGCTGGTTGTTCGTTCCCCGCCCCCCCCCCCCCCCCTTGGTTTGCTTGTTTTTCTAGAGATTTAGGGCCTAGGTAGGAGGCGTGTACCTGAAAACATTAACACCATGTTTTAATTGTCAGACAGTCTGAACTGCTTTCTCAGTAAAGCTGAGCGAGGGCCGAGTGCTCTGGTAGCTGAGGGACCCCATTTGCAGAGCTCTCCAGCCTAGGTTTCCATTCTGAAAAGAAATGAAATTACTGGAGAGTAGTTCTGTCCACTTCCTGGAGGCTCTCAGTGGGTGAGTGGAAGCTGTGGCTTTTGTTACAGAATATTATTTAGAAGAAAAAAAAGATGGATAAAGCTTACTCACCACAAGCCCCTGCAATAATTGCATTCAAATTCAATTCAGATTTGGTTTGAAAAGTCAAAGTAAGTGACAACACACTAAGAACTAAAGGTATTTGTCCACATTTTTTTAAAGGAACAAGTTTAGAGCAGTAGTAAGTGGAAAGTTTTCATCATCGAGATACTGTGGTGGTTTTATTGTGAATGATTAGCTTAGATCTGTTCTGTACACTTATACTAATTTGAAAAACATCTATGATCTAGATTGCAGATGGACAGAGAGAGCTTATAGAGTCATACAGTGTCAAAAAGAGACACTACATTGGAAATACAAGCATGGATGCTGGTTTATCATTCATCATGGCCAACCATGGAAAAGTAAAGAAAAATGATATTGTCTTTGATCCGTTTGTTGGAACAGGTATTTTGATTTAACTGTTAAAGCTAATGTAGAGACATTGCTTGTTTATATAAATCAGGGTCATAGTAATATATTTTTTCATAGTAATATTTTTGCTAAAAGCTTAAATGGACAGAATAATATTTTAATTACTATTAGTTAGCGCCTAAGAGATAACCATATATTTGTGTAATAGCCCGTATTTAACACTTTTGCCACTTCAAAGATGAATTTGTGTATTTTTTCCCAAGTAAACCACTAGGGGGAAGCATACCATACATTGCAATCTCATACATTGTGGAAATGTTATGAAGCTATCTAGTTTATTTAAATAGGAAAATTCTTGGGGGGAAGAAAGACTTAAGTGACAAAAAGTGTGTTCATCTTTTAAAATTGACAACCATATACTTTCTTATCCCTTGTAAGTAACCACCTTTTTTGTTTGCTAGTTGATTCTTCCTGTGTTGTTGTTTTCTATTTTTATTTTTGGTAGTGATTAGCAGATATATGTACATTTTATTTCTACATCTTTCTAACATAAAAGATAGCATACTATATATGTTGTTTTTAAATTTTCTTTTTTTAGCACTTAACAGTATTTCCTGGAAATCACTTTCTATTTGTTCATAGAGATTTTCTTCATTCTCTTTTCCCCTACCCATCCCCCACCCTCCCCTTTCCAACCATCAGTTTGTTCTCTGTATCTTTCATTCTTTCTTATAATTGTACCCCATGGGTGTATATATTGTAATTTTTAGTCAGACTGTTTTCTGTACTTGGGCGTGGGTAGTTGCCAACATTTTGCAGTTACAAATAAGGTTTGCAATGAATAATTGTGTACACTTATATCTTCATAATGTATAAATTCCTAGAAGCTGGATTGCTGGATTGAAGAGCGTATGCATATATAGTTTTGTTAAACATTACCAAATTCCTCTCAGTTACATCATTTTACATTCTTGACAGCAATATATGAGAGTCCCTGTTCCCCCACAGCCTCACCAGCAGAGTGTATTATGAAGCTTTTGAAATTTTGCCATTCCATTGGATGAAAATGTATCTTAATGTAGTGTTAATTTGTATTTCTCTTATTATGAGTGAAATGTAATAAGTTTTTATATTTTAAGGGTCATTTTTAGAACTTTTTTTGAATTATCTTTCATGTCTTTTGCCCATTTTTCTGTAGACTTGTTGGTCTCCTCAGTTTTAAAAGTACTTTTCATGTTAGGGATTTTAGCCTCCTCTTTCCCCATACATGTATATAAAATATTTTTTTCCTAGTTTTCCATTTATCCTTTGATTTAGCATATCATAGCTTTTTACCATGCAAAATTTTTCCCTACATCCAATTTATAGAGGAATTAAACTGTGCTTTTGGCTGGTACTTTGGTAGTCTTAATTTTTTCCCTTTAGATCTATGGTCCAGTTTGAGTTTCTTTTCTTATACGATGTGAAGAATGGATCTAATTTATCTTTTTCCAAATGCTAAGTCCTTTATTAATCCCTAAACTTGTTCTTAGACGTTGAGACATTTTTTCTGTGAAGTGAGAATAATTCTTTGAGATACATATGCATATATAAAGCTTAATATGCACACACATATAGACCAGACCTTAAAGTTTAAAAATAGAGTTACCAGTAGAGGTAAAACTTTCTTCCCTTCATGCCAATTAGGCTGGGTATATTATGAAATGCTTACTTCCACAGCAAATGAGGTTTTTTTCACTACTTTTATTTTGGTAAGGAGTGGGGAGACCTGCCCCTAAATTACTTTATGGCAGCTCCTGAAAGTGGGTAGCATAGCCTGGTCATTTTACTGTTTATGTATATATGGTACAGTGAATGGAAAATTGCAAGAAGCCCTTTATGAAAGATGTTGCTAAAGTATCCTATATAATAAAAACCTAATATGGAAATCTACTGAATGGCAGAATGATCAGTTGTGGGGGATGGGGCTGGTGAGCAGGCAGCACCAGGCCAGCCAAGGCAGGTGCCAGTGGGCAGAGGGAGTGGACGGCAATTGGGGGGCGGTGGCGACCAGTGGTGGTGGGGCTATGGGGGGTGGGGCTGGCCGCTCGCTGGCCGGTGCCATTCCCGATGGGCCCACTGGTCGCCTCCCGCAGAGGGAGGCCAGACTGCAGCTTAGGCCCACTCACCACAGGGAGCGGGCCTAAGCTGTCAGTTGGACATCCGCTGAGGGCTCCTGGACTGCGAGAGGGCGCAGGCCGGGATGAGTGACCACCCCCAAGTGCATGAATTTTCGTGCACTGGGCCTCTAGTATTTTATAATTTGTGTTTGTAGTTTAGGTGTAGAATTAGGACTTTGGCTAGTTTTTGTTGCTTTTGTTTTGAAACTGGTAATAGCCAATAGTTGTGAATAGACACAGTTCTTAAGCATAGCCTGTCCTTTTTCTAGGCCCTTTTGTCTCATTGATGGGTAGTACCTTCTGAAGGACTAGAGAAATAAGAAGCTCTGTGCCCTCTCCATGGCCATATGGTTTTCTCAGGGTTATAGACTAGGGTAGAAAGCTTTTGGGAGACTGAAAGGAGAGACACAATCTTTTTATGCCCAAATACCTTTCCTTTTTCTGTGAGGCAGTCTGCTACATTATCTAAAAGCACATTATGAGCTGTAGAAACACACTTTCCATCTTAGCAAATATATTGATTCTCATTTTAGTAAGGTTTTTTTAAAAGGTGTGTATCTCTTTTCCTCACGGGGAAGATACATGTCATTGGGTCAATTCTCAATAGTTAGGAAGCACTGCTGTTCTAATATGAACATGACTAAAGGAGTGATCAGCATGAGTGTGTTGAATACATACAGTGGCACAGGCCTGCCTCTTGTATGGTATAAGACTTGTGAATGGTATACAGCTCATACTAAGTGTGCAGCTTTACTTAATTTAACTTATTTTGTTTAATAACAAATTTTACTTTTGTTTTTCTAATTGGTAAGCTAATGTATATTTACTTCAGTTGCTGTTGACCCCAAAGGGGACAGTATGGCATAGACTACCATGAGAGCAAATAGAGTTCGTTTTAAATCCTTACTCTGTCAGTTACTATGTGACCTTGGGCAACATTCTTAATGTGTCTGGGCCTCACTTCCATCATTTGTGATATGGTAATAAGTAATACATTGTGAGGATTAAGTGAGGTAATATATGTCTATGAAATCCTTAGGAAGCTGCATGATGCATGGTAGACATTCAGTGAACTGTATTGATTATCATTATTATTTTAAATTATTATTTTATTAAGAACTTAAGTGCCTTTTTGGTGAAAGATGTTAGATATAGCCAGTATGGAATGGTGATGATGAACAGTTGGGCCATGAACTTATTTTATAGTCTCTTCTTTGGCTAATTTTTCAAAATATTCATAATTTGCAACCGTTGGCAAATTATATCAATAAGCAAGGAAATTGAGGATTAAAATGTAAACTTTCATTCTCTGAAAGTGATGAAGATAATTGGTCCAGGTGCCTGCCAGCGTAGGTAGCTGTGGTGTGATTTGATGACGGAGTCTGCAGCTGTAGCCCTGATCCTTCTCACCTTCCCTCACAAGTGAACCGGCTCCTTTGGCAGCTGAGAATCCTCCCAGGGACTGCTGTTCCTTTGGCTCTGCCTTCAGGGTGGCCCGGAGGTGTAAGGGGAGGAGTGTGGCTCCTTTTGAAATGTTATCATTGTGAAATGATAGACACAGGTGCTGGGAAACTGACTGTCCTGGTTCTGGGGGGACTAGAGGGAAAGGTGAGGAGAGAGGAATCGATCCCTGTGGGTCTGGGGAGCAGTCTCTGCTTCCCATTGTGTCCACAGTTCTCTGTAGTTTCCTTTTCCTGAGTTTTATAGTTTATCTATGAAAATTTCTCTATTCTAGCAATATCCTCTTGCTTAGGCTGCTAGTTTATTTGAGGTTTTTTAAAGGATAAAATAGATGTTAATAGTATCTCCATTTTTCTCCTTTTTCCTTTTCTTTCAGCAAAACCAAAGCCAGTCTCATTTTTCACACCTTGTGAGGCTTTCCACATAAATCTCTAAAGATGAAAATCAGGCATTAATTTCGTTGTCACAAGTAAATTTTATTTATTGGGTCTTTTTGCTTATATATTACCCTAACCTTAAAGTGGTTGCTATTTAAGTAATGAGAAATCAAAACACTGAGTCTGTAGTATTTTTACACTTGAAAGCATGTAATATCAGGTGAGTCCATTACCTGCCCCCTCAGCACTTCATCCCTGCATTTTATCACCCCTTCGTCCACCAGAAAGCTTTCAGAAAACTCCAGCTGAGGTACAGCTAAATGCAAAAAGTGCTTCAATTTAATGGAAAGACACAACTAGATGATTGACAGTGGTTATTCAGTGACTAGATCAGAGAAGCTACTTTATAATGATTTTATTTAAAACATTAAAAGCTTAAAGGGCATAGAGTTAACTAACAGATTATTCATCTCCTTGCAGCAGTGTACTCTAAATTGGGTCTGCTCAAAACTCACTAACCAAATGGATAAGGTTCTGTTTAAGGAAGCACAGGAAAGCTTTTCTGTTCCCTTGACAACTAGCTCTTCTAGGTGAGTATCTGCCTTAATTGGCAGACTTGTAGTAATTCCTCATGATTTGGGTGAAGTGATTTTGTGAGTATTCCACCTCATCACATACAGTAACTTTCCCAAACAGGGACTGTTCCATTTGTAGAGAAAGAGTTATGAGGACCTACTTACCTTACCTCTCACACGAATGCTTTTGTAGTTGGTATGAGGGAACCTAGGCTTTGGCTTTTGCTGTGCTTTTAGTCCTGCATTTCTCTTCTTCAGGGACTCCAATAGGAAGTAGCCAGTTATAATATTTTTCATGGGAAAAGTATTTGTAAGTACATGCTACCAGACTGTGTTTTAAATGGCTGTGGGGGAACACTATTCATTTATAGACCTTGACCCTCTGGAGGCACTACCCATCTTAATTTTAGAGATTACATTTCAAAGTATATTAAAGAAATAGCCCTAGTTATTGTCCCTTGGCCAAGTCTGTGCACAGTCTAGAATGTACTTCTGTTTTCAGTTTGACTGACCTCTCTATAGAATAGTAAACAGAAAAATGGTATTAATTGTGTGTTTCATAGTAGTTATTTGGAACTTAATATTTATATTTATAAAATGAGATCATTGCTTTACTAGTTATAGAAATAACTATTTCTCATCCAAATATTTTAATTATTGCAAGGATTAATGTCTTACATATTAATTATGTCCTCTTGAGTTATTTGAAACTCTGACTTCAGTGCAATTGAGCCCAGTGGTCAGAATTTATTTATTGCCAGCTCTTTGTGTAGCAGTCATCTGCTCATTTGTAAAAAAGGAGCAAGATGCTTTGCATGGATCTCTCAGAATGAGATGAAAATAATGTCTAAATATACATTATTTTGAACCCCCCCAAGAGATAATTTTCTATAAGTATTGCTGTTTAGAGTAGTGATGCCAAGTCATACATTAATTACCTGCTTTGTGACCGCTGTAGTGAGCATAGCTTAGGAATTGTTTCTTTTAGTTTGGAGGCCAGGACCATTGTCCTTCTAGGATACTCTGCCTGCAGCTAGTTTGTAAGAATCTAAGTGGAAGAAATAAGAGCCTGGGACTTTCTGGTTAACGGATGATAACTGGTTTTTTCCAGGTGGCCTTCTGATAGCATCTGCTCATTTTGGAGCGTATGTGTACGGGACAGACATAGACTACAACACAGTTCATGGCTTGGGTGAGTATGTTCTAGACAATGTCGCAGTCTTTGCTCTTGTACCAAATGTGCCTTTAAAATAAATATGTTTATGTGGCATTATACACCCACTTTTACTGTTAAAAATGAAGAGTTGTGGTATAATATAGTTTTACTTATTGCAACAATAAGACTTCCTTGGGTATCTGCTTTTTATGAAGTGATCCTGGGGGAACACAGTGATGAATAAGAAAAAGCCCTCCCTCACAGGTATTGTGGTCTTAGTAAGAGAGGCTTTTTAAAAGGAGGCGAACTGTAAGGTCGTGAACTTTAGGGTTGGGAGAGAAGAACTAGGAGAGAGCCATTTTGTAATCAGCATGACTGTGTTAATAAAGCATACAGTTTCTATCTGAAGATTGCTTGCTTTTGAGGGGATTTTGGAAAGTAGTTTAAAATCTGGCAGCTTTGCTGATGATGTGTTATTCAGTGAAATTGAATCAAACTGAAAAAGTAATTCCTTATAGCTGAATGGTATTACAAATGTCAGGTTTCATTGATGATTTTAAAGTTGTTTGTATATACTAGTTAAATTATTGCAGCTAGAATCAGCCCTTAAAATAGTCTTTTCCTTTTTCCTGTTCAGTGTAAATTTTATATAGGTGAAAATTTATTATGTGTTCTTTTCTTTTGCCAAAGCAATTTGACATATTCTACTTGATGACCTGTCTTTTTTCCTGTCTTGACTATAAGGAATTGAGGAATATTTATCATAAGGAAAATGAGTTGTATTTAATCAAGTTCACCTATTTAAGCTAACCAGAAAAAAATATTCTTTGTCTGCAATATGTTAGAGTAGACAAAGTATTAGTACAGCTTGCTTTTAGTAGAAGTGGTATGTTTGCTTTAAGGAAATTGTCATATGTAATTTATTTGAATTTTTATTTATGAAAGTTGTGTTTAAAACTTGTTACAACCTTTCAGTGTACTTGGGTAGAATTCTGATGGACGTAGCATTTCCTCAGAGCTCATCCAAGATGCTGTTAGATATGTCCATTCTGATCTCTTATTGTCCTCAAATATCCTCAAGTTTCTCCTATTTTTAAAAATAGAAAACCTTTTCTGTCAATCCTGTAGACACCTTCTAGCTGCCATTTTGTTTTCCTCTTATTTTGCCAAAGTACTTCTTGAAAAACTAGTATTTTCTTGCTATCTCCCCTTCTTCGTCTCTCATTCTCTGGTGCCCATTATTTGTCAGCTTTGATGCCTTCTGAAAGCTCTAAGGCCACAGATTTACAGCATTTGGCAGTGCTGACATTTATAAAGCCTCCTTTGGTCCCCGAGACAGTACTCTCAGCAGGTCGCACTTTATGTCCTTGGCTTCCATTGCAGCCTCTGTAAGGCCCGCAGTTTTCTTTGTTCTGTGTTTACACATTGCTTTTCTCTGGCATCTCTCTGCCCCCTTCTCCTGTCAACACTACATTGTGCAGTCATGTCATTCTTCTCCTCTTGACATTTAAGTTTTGTTTTTATTGTGAAGTAGATCATTACACAGAAGAGTGTATAAAAATAGAATAAATATAAAACAAACATGTATGTAACTGTCACCTAGGTTAATAATGTCATTCATTCTTATGGATTTAAGTTAAGATTCTATACTGGTGACTCCTGTGTGTGTATACTCTGACCTCCGACTACCTGCTGAATAGCTCTTCCTGAATGTTGTGTAGGGAGCTCACAAGCAAGATTGATGTATCTCAAGTGAATCACATCCTTTTTCCTAAGCTTGTTTTTCCTCTTGGTTTCTGTCATCTTAATTGATGGTATCCCATCATCCACTTTTGTCTCCTAAACTAGTACTTTTGAACAACTTCAATCCTGCTGTAACTTTTCATCTGTAATGTCTCCATCCGCGCGCACCCCCCCCCCCCCCCCCCACTTTCTGATCACATGCATTTCCCAAATTAGCTTTCTTAGTTTTTGTTTCATGGATCTGATTCATCACTACATCAGACTGGTGCTAGAGGAAAGGGACCGTATTTTATTCAACTCTGAATCTTACTACTGTATGCTTTGAACTCATTAAGTATTGAATTAGTGTTTTAAGGCAGTTTTACTTGAAAAGTGACAGAACAATACCAGGCATCAGTACATTACTGTTCAAAATATATTTTTATAATAAGTTGAAATAAATGTTTATTTGTATAATAAAAGGGAGATTTTTTAAGTGAAAGCAAGTTTTATTTGAATAAATGTAGGTTTAGATGAGTTAAATATTACTTTGATTTAGTACTTCCTGTCTTTCTTTTTCTCTCATTTCAGGAAAGGCTAGTAGGAAAAACCAGAAATGGAGAGGACCAGATGAAAACATTAGGGCAAATCTCCGTCAGTATGGGTTAGAGAAGTATTACCTTGATGTCCTGGTTTCTGATGCATCCAAACCTTCCTGGAAGAAGGGCACATATTTTGATGCAATCATCACTGATCGTAAGTTTGCTTTTATACAAAAGTAGGAGTAGGATTCGTTTCCTGAAGTCATTTACATTTAAAATACAAACTTTACACACACACACACACACACACACACACACACACACACACGATGCCAACTTGTACTGGTAGTCCCCCCACCCCCATCTTCACATAGTGAGAAGGAAAAAATTTGTGAATATAGGTAAGGAACCCATTTAACTAATAGTAAATAGTTTACTGTTTAGTTTTCATAAACTATGTATATTAACTTGTCATCCCTTTATTTCTTCAGCTCATTTTTTGAGGCATATATTTGTTTTGTGTTTGTTTTATATTTGGCTACAGTTGGTCACTAGTATACCCACTGGATCCAAAATGTCATTTGCAATTATGGTGTCAGATTTCGAAGAAGAGAGTTTCATGTATCACACGTTTTTTCCATGTGTGAGTTTTTGTGTTTTTTTGTAGTGCCTGTTTGCACTGACATCTCCTTTGTAGAGTTACAGGAAATTCTGTGGACACTGGGCTTGCGAACGCAGTGAGCTTCAGGAATACACAGGAGAACTGTTCTGTGCCTCATGAGTTCTTGGGCTTTCCCGGCACCCTATATAAGAACAGATCTGCCTTTTCTAAAGTATTTGGCAGTAAATCTGTAAATAGTGGCAAGTGTACTCAACCCTTCCATCTCAGCTCACTTTAGTTATTAGGTAACTTAGATGGTATGAAATCTAACAAAAGAAAAATTACCAAGGCATTATAATGTCAGCATGAAGATACTTTATGAAAACTGGGTAACTTTTTAACATCTACTTTATTGTTGCTTTCATTATATATTCACATAAAATATAGTTTTTTCTCTGATGAATTGAGAATAAATTGTATATATTGTGGTCCTTTACCCCTGTACTTCAGTGTGTCATTTCCTAAGAATAGGGATAGACTCTTAGCTAGCAAAAGTACAGCTACCAAATGCAATAGTTGAATCTACAGTTTGCCATCAATTTTGTCAAATGACCCAATATCATTTATAGCATATTTCCCCCTCTAGCATAGTATCCTAGTGTCAGCTATTGCATGTCTTCTAAGCTTCCTTTAATTTGTAACACTTTCAACGCCTTTCTCTGTCTTATGACACTGACATTTTTGAAGAACACATGGCCTGCCTGTCCTCCCAAATCTTTTAAATCAAATGTTCTTTGTGTTACACATTCTTAGCTGGAATATTGCAGAGGTGACGTGTATCCTTCTCGGTGTCACAGCTGGAGGCACATGAGTCCATCTGCCCCTCATTGGGGAGTAGGTGACTTTTGACTACCTGTGTTACCTGTGTTTTCTGTCTAGCTCCATATGGTATCAGAGAATCTACACGAAGAACAGGTTCACAGAAGGAAATCCAGAAGGGGATAGAAAAATGGTAAGTGAAAGCTAAATATGGTGTGTTTCTACTTTGAGAATAAGCATGTTGCTTCTTGCTAATTAACTCAGTTTTTAACAGCCTTAAAGATTTTTACTCATTTTGATTTTTTTTTTGTCTAGTCCAGAAAGCCATGTTCCTGTTTCCTTGAATTATCATCTGAGTGATATGTTTTTTGACCTGTTAAACTTCGCAGCTGAGACCCTCACATTAGGTGGAAGACTAGTCTATTGGTTACCAGTATACACACCAGAGTATGTAACATTAAATTATTTTATTTTTATATGATGTTTGTATATATAGCATATTTTTTTCACTAATTGTCTTTAGGATAAATATCTTTTTACTTAGTAAAATGGTAGTCTTTGTTTACCTACATATGTGTATAAAACTGGCCCCTTTCTCTTATTGATGGGATTACTTTGACCTGTTTATTTGATGTCAGGGGTTAATAAACTATGGCCGGTGGGCCACATACGGTCCTTAGCCTGCTTCTGTAAGGTTTTTGAGCTAAGACTGGTTTTATATTTTTAAAGGATTAAAAAACCCAAAAAGAACAATATGTGACAGAAACATACATGGCCCATAAAGGCTAAACTATTTACTCTCTAGCCCTTTAGAGAAAAAGTTTGCCAATTCCTGTTGTACCCACACTGGACTCAGTGCCTGATATAGCTGCTGTTCAGTGGCTGTTTTTTCAGGCCACAAGGAGGTAATTTCTAACAACTTCACTGAGTGATTCATGTACCTACTACTAGCTAGCTTTAATAGGTATTGGCTGTAATGATCGCATTAAATGCAAATGCATCTTTTTAAAAAACTAACACCAATATAAAAGCTATGCATATGCTTAAGGTCCTGATTATGTTCAACATTATTGATTTGGGTTTTATTATTCAGTAATTATTAATTGTAAATAGAGCTGTGTATATCAACAGTGAAAGACAAGATGTCTTGAACAAGATGAGATCCTTAGATTGGAAAGATAGTAGCAAGATCAAAATTGGGCTATTCTTCAATTTGCCTTAGAAATCTTTAAAAAAAATTACGCAAGTAAGCTTGCTGCTGGAATTTAGCTTATCTAAGGCAAGAGCCATTTTTGCACAGACATAAATAAATGTTCTCTCTGAAAATATTAATAAAACCCCATCTATCAGTTCACATACCAGATACCTGGGATCTGGCAGAATGTTGGATTACGTGAACGTAGTACTGGGAATAAAGAAACCAGTAAGCTAGCTTGCTTTTTACTTTAGAGAAGTCATTTCACTCCTTAGAATTAACTTTCCTTATTTCTAAAATGAAGAGCTTAAATGAGATTAACACTGGCAACAAAAACATAAGCTGAATCGGCATGAATGTGTAGCCTTCTTATCAGCTAATAAATAAATACATGGCTAAAGTTAGGCCAGGCCTTTGCAACTTCCAATGCAATGTTTATAAAACAAACAACAGAAAACAGCACAGCTTTCAACTGCCATTAAGAAAAGACAGACAACTTTAGCATTTCTAAAATGCTTTTTGTATAATTATGTATAGTGAATGTAAGAAAAAGAAAAATTACATTCTATAATCAAGTTCTGGTATTATTCCTTAAACCCAGGACATTTTGAAAAGTATAAGACATAGTAAAAACAAAGTACTACCTAAAAGCTTAGTTATTTGTGAAGAATTGTTAGAGCTGATGATTGAAAATGGATTTTCTCACTGTCTGGTTTTAAAGTGCAGTCAACAAACTTCTGTTTTTCTTCCTTGAGTCTAGATTCTCCTCACTCTAGTATATCAGATTTTTTACCAGTATCTAGATGCTCTGTATCTTTTCTCCTTTGTGTATTCTGTCCCCATTGCTTAATATACTCTTCTTCCCTCAGCTGGTAAAATTCCAGCCCTCTTTCAAAGCCATACTTAATTGTCACTACTTCTGTGAACTTTTCCCAACCCTTCTCAGCAGAATTATCAATCCTTCATCTGAGCTCTCATTGTTTACTAGGGGCCCAGTGCACAAATTCATGCACCTTGAAAGGAACTGTGGGCTGCGAGGCGGTAGGCACAGGGTTGGTCTCAGCCCATCCTCTGTACCCCCCGCTCGGCCCCTCCCGCCGTGGCCCCCAGTCCCCTGTCTGCCGGTAGCCCCGCTCCCGCTGCTGCCACTCCTACGTGCTAACATTGCCGGCCCCGCTTGCACCCGCTGACAGCATGGAGTGATTAGAGCCGGCACCAGCAGCGGGTGCAAGTGGCAGCTGCTGCCCCAGTCATCCCTCAGGAGCAGGGAGAGGTGGAGAAGTCCTCAAGGACATTCAGGACCAGCAGCCGCTGCTCACACTCAGTGATGGCGCCGAGTTATCGATACCGGTGCTGGGCACCGTCAGTGAGTGCAAGCAGTGGCTCCGGCGCCGGCTGCGGGTGTGACCGGGGCCGGCGCTGGCAGCAGGTGCGAACACCGGGCTAGACTGTGGTGTGCAGGAGCAAAGATTTTTTAGTAACCACCAGAGGCTTGTCCTGATCACAGCGACTGGCACCCTGCCTTGGTCTGGCACCCCCCGCTCACCTGCTCCACCATCTCGCCACTGCAGATGCCCACCATGTTCCACACATGCCCCCTGGTGGTCAGCACACGTCATAGCAACCAGTTGTTCGGTTGTTCCGCCCTTTGGTCTATTTGCATATTAGCCTTTTATTATATAGGATTCTTGCCACTCAGAGAGACTTGCAACGTAAAATTACTGTAGACCATTGGTATTTATGGGTTTATTATTCAGATTCCTAACTACTTGAAAATGATCCTGAAGAGTTGTGTAACATTCCTTTGGACAGGGCGTGAGTTCCACTCCTGTGTGACTGATGTTAGAGGAGTTGCTAAGTTATTTGACCAGGTTCCACATGTCCATATAGGGTTGTTTTCTGAAGTGATTGGAAACCGTTTCTTTGTGAATGATGTCCTTTAATAGAGATCCAATCGGTAGTGCTCATGATAAAGATGCTGACAAAGAGAAGAAACTTAATAAAGTGCCTCAAAGTAGGATTGGGGGATAAAATTTAATTGTAATAAAATTAATTTTGTGGCTCAGAGCAGTGAACAGAACATGTTTTTCATGTCTCGTATAGGAAACAGAAAAAAGTGATTTCCTAAACTGTTTTCAGTAAGTGCTCCAATCAATAACAAATCTGTTTCTCAAATGGGAGGTGGAACTGTAGTAGTATTTCAAAATAGTCCAAGGCATGAAAATTCACAAGAAAATAAGTGATTTTCAAAATTGATTCATGGAAACGCTAGGGCCTATATATATAGTCTTTCTTGGCTTTTATAAAAATGTTAAAATGTAATTTGTATACCATGCAAGTCACCCTTTTAAAGTGCATGGTTTTTAGTATATACACAAAGTTATGCAACCATCACCATTGTCTAATTACAGAGCATTTTTTTAAAAATAGATTTTATTGATTTTTTTACAGAGAGGAAGGGAGAGGAATAGAGAGTTAGAAACATCAATCAGCTGTCTCCTGCACACCTCCCACTCGGGATGTGCCCGCAACCAAGGTACATGCCCTTGACCGGAATCAAACCCGGGACCCCCTCAGTCCGCAGGCCGATGCTCTATCCACTGAGCCAAACCGATTAGGGCTACAGAGCATTTTTATTCCCCAAAGAAGCCCTGTGCACATAAGAAATATCTATCACTTCAGTTCCTGGCAGCTGTTTATCTGTATCTGTGGATTTGCCTGTTCTGGCTGATTTAGGTTTTAAATAGATGCTTGGATTGTAGAGGAAAGTAATCAAATGGAATTAAGATAGGATGCTGCAGTATCATTATAGTCCAGGCATAGTACCATTTATAGCTTCCATTTAATAGTTTGCACACAGTTCATGACTATGAAATATATTAGTAAATATATAGTAAAGAAATTTTACTTTACTGCTGTTCTTTTAGATGGTATTTTGGGAGTATACTGTTAAATTGATTGTCTTATTAACATAATAGAGTAGTGGTTAAAAACAAACTTGTTAATGATAATGATGACCCAAATGATGTACCTTCCTGCTTAAACTTATAGATCAAGTCAGAAAGAGAATCTGAAACATGTAAATATTTTTTTTCTGCTGTTAAGCCAAACACTGGTGACTTTGTTTTAGCAATTTACCATCATTGAAGTCATAAGTATTAAAATTGTATTGGTTTTGTACTTCTGGTTTGATTTATAAGTTTATTTTTTATTTTATAGTTATATAGGGTATATAAGCATAAGGAATTTATCTCTAATTTATGTTTGTATATATTTAAGTAATGTTTTAATAAAGATGCTTTGTCATCTCCACCAGGAAATAAAAGATCTTTTTTTTCCTTTGAAAGCAAATTTGACAAACAGTATTAGACATCTGTAAACCCTGCTGTTCGCAAGTGTAAGGTCAAGGCTCTATCTTCTCTCTTATCACTTTTTATTTTAATCTGCCAATCATAGTGCTGAATGTATTCCTTCATATCATAAATGTTTTGTACGAAGACTCCAAATTGATTTTAACTATTGTAGAAGTACAACATTTCTAACAATATAGTAAACGTTAGAGAATTATTAGATGAGGTAAAACCTGAATGGTCATTATTTGTTGGGAAGCCTTAAGGAAGTAGTCTGAGAAAGACTTCAAGCGAATTCCTCCCACTGATAATAATGAAGTGCATTATAGATGTTGCTTGGTAAGTGGGTGATGAGGGCTTTGAGCATGTGGTTGAGGTAATGGGGAGAGTGCCTTAAAGGTCAGAGAGACCTCGAGGTCAGTCAAACGGGTGGTGAAGACAATGTTGACGCGTTAGAACAGGCTGGCTGACAGGCTAGTCTTCTACGTGAAGTGTGGTCAGCTTCTTACCCATTTGGGAGCTTTAAATGTCCCCATATGATAAATGTTTCCAGAGACTATCTAGAAAGGTATAAAGATTTGCAAAGGAAAAGTAAAAACTGGCCATCACAGTGTTATTAATGGTACCCATATTTTCCCCCATTGTTCTTCTGCATTCTGTTCTATAGCTGTTTCCCCACGTCTGTCACCTGCTTTTTCTGCCAATATTGATACCAATAACCTGTCCGATGTCAGGTTCTGAACTACTGCAGCCTGACTGTCCTGTTTTCTAGGTGTCATCGTCTCCATTCACATGGTTCCTGTGCTGCACAGTAGCAGTTACCACTGCTCATTATCATGGCTCCCTTCAGTTTTATTTCACGGTTAAGGTGGCCAGAGAACTGGTGTCATCTGTAATGTTTATTTTAGTGGTAGCCTATTTGAAATATCTTATAAATAACTTTAGCCTGGTATTTTTACAAAGTTAATGGAGGTCCCAGGATGCCATTAAAATTTTGCAGGGGCAAAATTTTATTAGGGCAAGTATATGCCGTAGTGGACTTGATACTTTAGGAAATTATAAATCTCCTGATGAATCAGTCTCATGAATGTCAAGTTATAGAATGTATTTATCTGTTTTAGGTGTTCTTGTGGGATCCTTTAGGGTAATTGTCTTGTATTTTTGTGGTTTAATTTCTTGTAATTCTTCAATAAAACATACTTATATTCTCTTATTCCCATTCTGCAGGTAAAACAAACTACTTTTCTCAGATGTGGTAGTATTAAAATACCTTGCTTTTTTAAAAACCTAGATTGTTTATGGGTTATGTAAGCGGTGAATATTAAATAAACTAGTACCACATGACTGTAGTGGGAGGGGGTCTCATACACACCGGGTAACCCCAGTGACCATCCTGTGTGGGGTGTAACAGTCAGCTGTTCTTCCTTCAGGTACACTGAAGAGATGGTACCCTGGCATCCTTGCCTGAAACTTATTAGCAACTGTGAGCAGAAGCTTTCTAGTCACACAGCAAGGCGCTTGATAACAATGGAAAAGGTGAAGAATTTTGAGGTAAGTTATCCTAATACTTTTGGCATAAATTCTGGAAGGATCACAAGTTGATTTCTTTAGTTTTCCTCTAATGGAGTTTGGAAATGTTAGTCCTTGATTAAAAAAAAAAAAAAATTGATGAATTCAGAAAAAAAAATCAGTGAATTCAGGAAAAGTCGGAAGGTGAAGAGGTATGTGGCATTTGGTGGAGTTAGCAGGGGTGGGGAACATCTGGCCGGTGGGCCATATAAGGCCTGGGAAAATCATTTGGTCAGGCCCTGCCAAAGCATTAGGGGTGAGTTAATTAGATGTTTAACCAAATATAGCAGGCCAATTTTTAAGTTGATAATTTTATATGGCCTGTGAATGATGTTACAGATATTCAAATGGCCCGTGGCAAGTTCCCCACCCCTGCGTTAGAGGGTTGAGGTAGGATATAGAAATTGAATAGAAGCACAGAATTAAAGTTGACCTTAACTTCTCAGACTTTATTTGACAAACTTGTTGCTAACTCAATTATAAAACAGAGCACTCTTAATATAACTCTCATTTAATTAGCAAACTGCTGGTTACCATTTTCTCCAAGAGCATAACCTGCTTAATTGTAGACTATACTGAATAGGAAATATCACTTTATATAAGGGAGAAAGTAGCCTTGTAGGGCCCAACACATCATCTTTCTTCTTTCCTCCTCCTCTCCTCTCCCCCCTCCCCCCCCAACACACTTAGGCTTGAGAAGAAAGAACAAAACATCTGCCGTATCTCATGTCTAGATCAGAACAGAATTGATATGAGTAACGCCTTATAATGGAGCTTGACTAAATGCAAAGAATGCTCTTTGGATTGTACTTGACCTGGATTGACAACGGAAGCCCTCCCAAATTTACTGGAAACTTGGGCAAGCTTCATCTTTGCTTTGGGTCTATAGGGTGAACAGAAAAGACCAGAGTGTGACTGCCTTAGAATTTAGCGATGTGGGCATCTTTTCATGCCTGTTGACCATCTATCTGTATGTTTTCTTTGGAAAAATTTTTATTTAGATCCTCTTCCCTTTTTTAATCAGATTTTTTTTTTTGCTATTGAGTTGTATGTGTACTTTATATATGTTGTATATTAACCCTGTATCTGATATAGGGTTTTTTCTTGTGATGTCTTTGTCTAGTTTTGGTATCAGGGTAATGCTGGCCTTTGAGTTTTAATTCTTCTTTGAATGGTTCTTAGAGCTCACCAATGAAGCCATCTGGTCCTGGACTTTCGTTGGGAGGTTTTTGATTTCCGATTTAATTTCCTTATTAGTAATCTGTCTGTTCAGATTTTCTGTTTTCTTCATGACTCAGTCTTAGAAGGTCGTATGTTTCTAGGAATTTATTTACTTATTCTATGTTGCCCAGTTTGTTGGTGTGTAATTGTTTATAGTAGTCTCTTATAATCTTTGTATTTCTGTGGTATCACTTATAATGCCTCCTTTTTCTTCTGATTTTATTTCATTTCTATTTTAATTGTGGACAATTTCACAGTTTCATTCCCTTGAGTTTAATTTAAGAAAGTCTAGTATTCCAGATTTATAATATTTTTCTAAGCAAATTAATTTGATACTGAGAAGAACTAGAGAATGATATAAGGATGCTTCTGAGAATTTTTCTTCTACATGAAAATGATAAGGGCACTCACCTTAGATATTTTTAAAGCTTTAAAGCAGTATTAATTTTTGTTTGGTTGCTTTTTATCATTTTTCCTTTTAAAATTTATTTTTTTAAAGGATAAAGACTAATACTCAAGTAACTTTTGAGATGTCTTATAAGATCAAATTTGATCAGTGAGTTTTAACTAGTATGGGATTTACTATAACTTAAAATACTCTCTTGTTAAATTCATCATGCTTGGTTTTTAATTAATTACTTCATTTCTACCTTCTGTTTGTATGGCGAGAAGTGTATATAATTGCAGCAAGATCTCAGTCCTTTATAATGCAAGTGATGACATAAAATTGTCAAACAGTTCTCACACGCGTCTAACAAATTATTCTTGGACTTGTTCAGTGTTGTTGATTTTGGCAATGGAAGACTATTAATTTTAGATTTTTACACTTTTGTATATGTATCTCTTCATTTTTGATTTGTCACTTGTTAGGTTTAACTTCAGTATGACTTTTGGCCCACTTGCTAGGTTATTATAAAATGTTCTTTCTTTCCCTCTTTTAAAATGTAAACAAATGCAAAAACTGTCTAAAGAATATGGATTTTTCATAAAATTTTGTATCTTTAGATTATTGGCAATAGTTTTTAGATTTATTGAACATTAGTAGTAAAGAAGAACATTCTTGCCAACCATGTTGAAATGATGAAGATGCCTGATAAGGAAAGCTAGTTTTTTGGTTAGTATTCCATGTTTATATAGTCTGAAAGCTAGGTGAGTGATAAATAACACATTAATAATGCTTTATTGTTTACAAAGCTTTTAGATCCATTGACTTTATTATTTTGTACATTTTAGAGACTAGGAATTGGCTGAGTTGAGAACAAAATTCTTCTTTGTTCTTGAAATCCTGTACCCTTTTTTAGGCGTCATGTCGCCTCTTTACCAAAACACATTTCTAGCTTTAGAATATGCCAAGATTAAAAGGCAGATACTAGTTTCTTTTAAAGATGGTCTTTCTTCAGCACTCATGGGACGATGGCAGAATATGATTTGTTTTACCAGGACTCATTTCTCCTGTTGATACAACATGTAACTGATGTTGCTATATATAGTTTTGGTCAGAGTGGTTACTCTTTTTTTTTTTTTTTTTTTTTTTTTTTTTTTTTTTTTTTAAATATATTTTATTGATTTTTTTTACAGAGAGGAAGGAAGAAGGATAGAGAGTTAGAAACATCGATGAGAGAGAAACATCGATCAGCTGCCTCCTGCACATCTCCTACTGGGGATGTGCCCGCAACCCAGGTACATGCCCTTGACCGGAATCGAACCTGGGACCCTTCAGTCCGCAAGCCGACGCTCTATCCACTGAGCCAAACCGGTTTCGGCGATTTCTGCCATTTGTGACCTGTTTCTTTGTCTCCGCATTTTGGCAGCTTCCCTGTGTTGATAGAGTGGCCCTGTGCGCCAGGTGTCCTGTAGGGGCCAGTAGCTCAGCCTCCCCAGTTACCTGGGGTGGACACTCTTGGTGCACTCTTGGTGCCTTGGTTGTTGTAAAATCACTGGGAGGAATTGACCTCCAGGCCAATTGGCTGTGAGAATCAGCTGTGTCTAAAGTGGGAGAACTTCTGTGCTGAAGACACCCTTCTGGGGCAAGACTTGCTTCAGTGGGGCTTTGGTGCTCACTGAGTCTGCTCCCTGAGTGCGTCCCTTATGGATCTGAGGAGTTGCAGTCTGGATGGACCCCCTCTGACCACTGGGTACAGTGGCTCCTGGATCTAAGGAGGTGCTAATTCAGCCTCTGCCTGAGGCCACACAGCAGGAGCCACGAAGAGGCTCAGCTGTGAAGCAATGCAAGCCGCTGCGGGGCCTTGGGCCTTCTCTTGGAAGTTCCAGGTCTGCCTGGTTCGGCTGCAGTTAGGTACATTCACATGCAAAAGCCTCTGCCGCAGCCTGGGTGGGGCGGGGTCTCAGGGAGTCAGAGGGCGGAGAAAGCGGCCATGGCCGATTCTCCGCCCGGAGTCGTGCGTCTCAGTGTTCCGGTAACGGCTGCAAGCACCTCTGAGGGAAAGCCGCCCTCAAGTTCGCTCGCTGCCGGACAGACCAGCTTCTCCCCGTGTGAGACCTGGGTCCCCAGAGACTTCCCGGAACCGGAGTTCAGAGCCGTCGGGAGTTTGTGATTCAAAAAGACAGCCGCGTCCTCAGGCGCCACCCCCTTTCCTCGCGCGTGCCGCCGTACCTCTGCACTTCACCTCCGCAGCGCCTCTGGCTCTCAGCGTGCTTTTCTTTCCTTCTAGTTGTGGAATTTACACTCAGCCAGCCTTCCTGTTGTTCTGGATGATGTTTGCTCAGTCCTTTGGGGTAATTTTCAATTGTTGTGTGAGGCGACAATTTCCCGGTGTTTACCTATGCCGCCATCTTAGTTGCTCCCAGAGTGGTTACTCTTATACAGTAGTTTTCTCTTATGAAATTCATAGGAGAGAAATGCTGATCTCCACAGTTGTGCATAGCAGATTGGAATATGAGTGTAATAATTACATCTCCAGTGAAAGTCACCTAAAAGAATACTCTCTCAACCTTTTCTACCAGTATACTTGGACAGATGAAAAAGATCCCATAGTAGCCATTTTCAAGACTTCCTTGAAGTCTTTTTTATACGTCTATGTCACTATTACACTCTATAGTACTTGTTTAAATATAAAAAATTATTTAAAATTGTCATTGCACTAAATGGGCCATCCTGTGCGCTCTTTGTTTTGTGGTTTGTTTACCTGATTTGGTAGCTTATACTCCTAGTTATTTTGAGAAGGACTAAAGTATTGGTAAGTTTTATTCTAGGTTTTATATGGACATTAATTTAGATTAGTGTTAAAATATTCTGTAAAATAGTTGCCATTATTTTTTATAGCTAGTCAGAGTGGTTCAGATTATTTAAAATAAATAATAGTGGACGATCATAGTGGCAGGTGATGAAAGTTAATGTAATTTTTTATTTTGGGCTGAATGAAATGTCTAGTAACATGAAGCTGATGAATGCTTCATTAATCAGAATGGAAGGTGGCCAAAACTGAGGGTTTTGACTAAAGGATTGAAAGAGTTTGAAGCTGTGGAGAGAGAAAGAAGAATGAGCATTATAACATGGTTTAGATGAGGAAGGGAGAGAAGAGACACTGAGTTCACTTGTTTGAGACAATGACTTATTGATGGCTTGAAGTGGAAGAAATTTGTCTTTGTGATAAGTAGTTTATATAGTAGAATGGTAATAAAGTTATATTGCTAATCATAAACTGGTGTTTTGCTGAAATAATGCTAGTTCCTGATTCCATTTGCATTATTCTTTCTTAGAATTAAAGTCAGTAGTTGTTTTTTTTCTTTAGCAGCTGTTTGAATTAAAGGTGTTTCCTTCTGGTTGTCTTTTTTGCTGAAATATTTTTGTTTTTTGCCTGTTCATTGTAGGATGGTGGTCAGTTTCCTTATGATTAGAACTATGAAAGATTAGAGATTAGGTATGAAGTATTTTAATCATACAGCATGGTAGTGGGAAGTAGATGCTACTTCATTTATCAGTAAGAAAAATAAGACAAGTAAGAACATTGGTAATTGGATATGAACTTATTCTAGGTCTTAATACAGTACCATATTCATTATCGTGAAAGTGTGTGTGTGTGTGTGTGTGTGTGTGTGTGTGTGTGTGTTGTTTGTATGTGTATGAGCGAGGACCTTTCTAAAATTTATTTTGCAAAAAGGTCAGAAGGAAAGTACTTGCATTATCTGTAAATCATACATTGAAATGTTTGAGAAAGGCTTATAAAAGCAGAATCCTGGTGATGTTACATATCATGTTGCAGAATTCCATTTTAGGGATCATGTCTCCTACTTCTGAATGAATTGCTTTGCTGTTAAAGGTACTTTTCCTTGAATTTAAATTTTAGAGGGTTATCATTTTACTTTTTCTTTTATACTTCTGCAACTAAATAATTTTGCCGAACAAACTGGATTTTTTGTTAAGTTAATGGTCTTGTAATAGTTTTAAGTTATTGTTTCTGGCAAATCAAGAAGCAGCAAAAGTCTGTCTGTCCGTCCGTCCCCCCCCCCCCCCCCCCCCAACCCGGAAGGCAATTATTTAAGATCTCTGGAGCTACTTATGGTGCTCTTTGGATATGACTCTTATTTGTAGGACAAAGCTGTTCCCTCAAGGCAGAGCACCTGTTTTTATGTTCCAGCTCTAATGCTCATATTTTCAAGCTTGACAGTAAAATAGTCTTTAATGTACTGATGCTGTAGAATCTTAGGCAGATGTCAGTTGCAGAATATAAAGTACAACCTGGGAGCCCAAGGTATGACTGGTTTAGATACATGGAAGTTTATGTGTTGAATTAGCATAATCCCCTGGAGCTTCCTTTATAATTCTCATCTGACAAAATTTCCACTTTGTATTTTTTTCTTATTTATCATGTTATTTAACTTAGAATGATCTTTCTAGTGCTCTTCAAATTCAAACATGAACTTGTGTCTTCTTCCCATTCCTAACCCACCAAGAATGCAACCCTGAGATTTTAACTCGTATTTTTTTGTCCATAACGTAAGTGCACAGTTTAATGAATAGTTATAAAGTGAACATCTGTGTAACCACCACCATGGTCAAGATTACTGAGTCATGCAGCACCCCAGAAGCACCCCCTGTTGTGGCTATTTCTGATCATAAACACCTCTCCTAACAGTTGTAACCACTAATCTGACTATTATGGTAATTACTTGCTTGTTTCCCTTTGTAATATTTTCACTACCGAATTCATCCCTAAGCAAAGTAATTTTGCTTGTTTTTGCTCTTTATATAAATGTAAGTGTGTTTATTAATTTTTTAATGAATTGTGACAGTTTTAAAAAGTTGCCTAGGAGATAAAGTTTCCAAATTAAAGCGAGAGAGTATGTATATGTGTGCCTGCACATGTTTTGGCATATTACTCATCTTTTGCTGCTTAGTTAGGGTCAGTACAGTTCTTCTTAATTTTAATTAAATATTAGATATAGTAACTAATAAATCGTCATTACATTTTTACCTGGTGTGTTGAACCTGTATTCTTTTAATAATTGAGGTTTTAAGTTTTGAGTTTTATAAAGGTACAGATTTTAGTGGAGAGCATGTAGAAAATACTCATGTTCTTGTTCATCATGAGAGCATGACTATCCATGATATTCTTTTTACAGTTAGAAAGAAATTATGTGCTGAGTGCCAGATGTCAAAGTTCAGTTGTTAAATGTCAACTCATTTTCAGAACTCTAGATATGAAGATTTTAATATAAAAATATTTTAATAGACTTTAGGTAATTTAATATCTTGAAGAGTAATGACATTTTTTAAAAAGGTACAAATCATATGTAAATACCTAATTTTGGGATGAAGATTCTCAGCCTTACCTTGTTCCCATTAAGCATTGTGCTGGTTTCTCTTAATAGTATTAGATGCCAGACTCCTGACCTCCTTGTCCTTGGTTTGGAAATGGCCGAGTGCTGTTTATAGTTGTATAACTTTAGCACAAGTGGTTTCTATAGCTACTGTCC